CGGTACCCCCCCCCCCCCCCTTCGCAACCCACCAGGCAATTTATGGCTCGAGCCTGGCCCCCTTCCTTAAGGGTGACAGCTGTGGCCGTGGCTTTGAACCAGGGTCGAGAACGCGTCGATCTCCCCCTTTTTTATCGCTCGTCTGAATTATTCATCACTTCCGGACTGCAATTTCTCATTACTTCCAGACTGCAATATTTCATTACGTCCGAACTACAATTTTTCATTACTTCCGAACGGCAATTTTTCATTCCTTTCGAGTCGGGCAGGGACGAGAAGCAGGCAGTCTGCCAAGGAATCCGCTTCGTGAATTCCCGAACCGGTCTCGAAAACACCGGAAGCGTCCCGGTCCCGGTTGATGAGGACAGGGCTTACATCCACAGCCGGCTGTGGATGTAAGCCGAGGGCTGGGAACCAGGCGAACAGGCTTTTTAAAGATTCGGTAATCAGAGACGAGGATCGGTTACCCTCCACAACAATCAATTAAATATCCTGAGACCTGAAATCCCTTAATCGACTGCAAGTCACGCACAATTATTTTCGCCGACGCGAAGACATTTCAATATCGGCAAGAACTGGAGCGACCTCGCGACTTCTCGGCCCAGACACGATACCCGACGACACGATACCCGACTTATAATATGCAGCGATCCTCTCATTAGTCAGCCGCGAATGCCCAGAAGGAAGTGGAGAACGCGGGATGACGATTAGTTTTATCATGGTTGGACAGGTCGAGGGGATTCCGATTTCCTCGGCCCGTGCGCGTGAGTGGCGCCCATCCCATGCGCGTGCGTGTGAGTGGCGCCCATCCCATGCGCGCGCGCGCGAGCGGCGCTCATCCCTTCATCAAGGAAGGAGGGCCCTTCGCTCCGAGACGGCGTAGCGGGATTGCGGCGCTTTCATTCCAGATTTCCGCTAATGGGCGGTGTGTTGCAATGCTCGATTACACGTTCGAAATGAATTCGTTTGCATCTCATGGAACATCCGGACGGGTGGGGCATACGACGCTTCATCATTTCGCGGCCTGATTTTTTTTTTTTCCCCTTCGTAATGATGTTGGGCCCTTAGTGTTGCGGTTGCGGGCATCGCAAAAACTCGGCGGTGGTCGCGATTTTGAACTACGAAAGGCCCGAGAAAATACAATTCCTTCTGCCTGAATCTTGTTTCGCCGCGCATATTCTAGAAGTGTTACTTCTATTACACACTTGCTCGGTCGATGAACTAATTGCAGCTTCGATTCCAAGCATGCTGACTCGGCCTCAAGTACGACTAATCAATCGGGCTAATTACGCACTTAATTAGCTGTGCACACTGGCCCCTTGAAACGTAGGATGACATTCAGCCATTCCTGAGCATTGGACGGGGAGGGGGGCAAAACGGTTGCGGTTTCTTAAATAGCAGTGGCCTTAAAAGAAATTGGGATTATTCATCACAAATTATTATACAGAGCTTGGTCAATAAATTAACGCCCAGTCATGTTTCGGATGAGTCATACATAACCGTTGGCAATTAACTTAATGGTGTTACTATGTTCCTCATACGCTCATTAACGAATATTTCTCCATTCCTCGAATTTATTGGGACCATTCTGATATTTTCCCAGCATGCCAAATCTGCGGACACGGCTAAGCCCGTCAGGATCTCATGGCTAAGCCTGTCAGGATCTCACGGGGATCCTAACGGACCTAACCGTCCCCGTGGGGGATGGACTCTGCAATCGAGTCCTTCCGCAATCGCGACCACCCACTAGTATGGATGGAGCATCGTATTTCCACATGGGCTTCGGGCTCACTGCGATCGTGTCTCATCCCCTACATGATCCCCAACATGAATATATTGGTTAGCACATTTGCATGGACATGGCACGTTACAAGCCGTAAAAATCAAATGATAACAAATCTGACCTTCTATGGCAGTTATCCAGCGGCCTCTAATATTCTGTGCGCGTATGCACCTACTAGGAGTAGAGATGTGAACAGCATTCTTTCGTCATGGATTTCGTAACTCTCTTCTCGGGAGAGAAGTAAAAAACAATGTCTTATTTCAAGGTTGAAAGGCTGTCCCTTTTTGAGAGCAGTAACTGGGCCTTCCAGTTGAGCAATTTCCCACCAGAGAAGCAGAAGCATTTTTGTGTGGAATGCCCTTGATATTGCCCTTGATATTATAAGGACTGGCAAATCAGGAAATGACTAAATACTCTTACTACCCAGAAACCACAAAACAAAGCATGAACATCCATGGATAACTAATCAATCACAAAAGAACGAGTCGATCTTGGTGTCGAGGAACTCTGCAAATTCTCTCGGGCTTCCTCGATGGAAGGGTCGAAGTGCAGACAGGTCTGCCGATTGCAAAGTGTCGAGGAGAGTCTCGCATGTGCAGTATAGGAGGTGCCCTTCTTCATACAACTTCTGAGCTAGTTCCATCTGATGATTTCCCATTAGATCTTCATTGACAACTACAATGTGAGGCTTCTGGGCACCAAGGACCTCGAGGCACGTGCCAGCACCCGCATGGCTTATCACCAGGGAAGCCGCTTGGATCTCGGCCTCGATCGACGGCTTGTGGCGGAACCACTCGATCATGAGCCGACCCGAGACCATGACGTCGGGCTGGAACGTTCCTCGGCCGATCTGCAAGACGAGTTTCTTGTACCCCAAGCGTGACAAAAGGGACAGGAAGTTGCTCTGGGTGACGGTGGCAACGAGGAGGTCGAAAGATGTCGTCCCGACGGTCACAAAGAGTGACTTCTCACTCCCATTCTGTTGGGTTGACATCATAGTCTGAAGTCCAATGCTCCAGCACCAGCCACCGACCTAGGAACCCCACGTCCACGACACGCTCGTGGAAGGTGACGTAACGCGGCCTCAGAAAGCGGCACTGTGCCCAGTACAGGTCGCAGTCTGGATGGTGGTTATCGACCCAGGCGAGGGAGAAGAGGCCCAAGCTCAAGACCCTGACCTCTCCGTCTCTCAGTGCCTTCACGAGGAAATCCGTACGCTTTACTGCCCGTGGATTGCGCAGGTGCTCTGGAAGAGTCGCAATCTCATTGGCTACCTCCTTCACCCTGTCATGGAAGTGCTGCTTGTTCGGATTGGCATGTATCGTGTAGCATACGGCAGCAAGACCTGGAAAGAAATCAGGAAACACTCAGGAAAAGTGAAATAAAACAACAAAAATGAATGAACATGCCATTTCACAAATCTCAGCTGTTCCACATCACACCATGGATGTTTTCACAAGATGGGCACATGCAACTCTAATAAACAAACTTGATTAGTGAATCAGACTCAGATGACAGATAAATATAGAAATAGAAGGAAATGAGACGTTGGGAAGATTTGTTGGTCTATGGGGATGAACATCTTCAAGACAATTTACTCAGTAGAGAATGGACCCTATTCAGGGCTTTGCATCTCCTGGTTACAGTTCATAAAATTGTTGTTGACACAATAGAGAAAAAGAACTATCATGCTACAAGTTCCAAGACATCTAATGTCAACTAAGCATTATTGTTATTTCATTCCTACCAAAAACCAATCAAATGTTGAGAAAGTGTCCAATCCTTGCCATCATATGGCTTTTTAAACACTGTGCAGCTTTTTGGGTAATAGTCAATTTTCTAAAAATTAATCAGTTGCTATTGACCTGATGATTACATAAGGGTACATGATTTTACATACATAGATTGGTTAAAAATCAGCATTTCCACATTGGCTTTATCAGGTTTCTATCAGGATGGAGATACTGCCTGACCCTTAAAGATGGCCAAAAGAGAATTTCACAGCATTTGCAATCTCTTACATGAGGAATAGCTTTGAAGATGTATTAAGCATGAAGGAGGATATCCCAGGTTCCTTGCATGAAGATAACTCAGAAGCCTTGTATGAAAGAAAACCTCTCAAAAACCTTCAAGGAAAATGCCTCACCAAAACCGTAGATGGCAGTCTTCAAGGGACGATTCTTCGACTCAAGAACGATACCCTTTCCTACGTCTTTGTAGTCCTGAAGCACGCCCTTCCAATATTGACCTGAAAGAGAAGCACACAGATGCAGAGGGTCATCATAAAATCTTTTAAATTATGTAGCGATCAGTGGTATCCTTGCAGATTCGTGCATGTCATACCCCATTTCTCCCATGTGCTGACCTTGATGAGAAGGCGTCTGGCACTCATGCGGGGGGGATGCCAGAGACCCCTGGAAGAATCTAAGGATGGAAAAGAAAGCACATATTATGAAATAGATGCAGGGAAGATCCCACAGTGTGGCTTTCATTTTGCCTTCAGGAAGCCTGTTTCTTAATCTACCTGGTAATCATGTTTCAAAGAAGAAAAGCAACCACAGAAAAAGAAGAGGAACTGTGGATCAGTGGCTTTGTTGATTATCTTCATATACAAGGTGATGGAATTGTAACTCTCCTGTTACAAAATTTATAAAACTGGAAAATATATTTATGTATAAAAACTGTAATTGTTGTCCATCCTATTTTCTTTTCCTAAGGGATGACAACTGGAACTTCATAGGATGACAATGAGAAAAATTAGAAAAAATTTGCAAGGCCTCACATTCTCAATCAACGATGAAACATTTCTTGAACCTTATAGCAACTCCTCTGTGTGCTATCTACCAGAAAGGTCCCGGTTCACATACCCCAAGGAAGCCAAAAGATGCTTTTAGGCAGATTTTGTTCTTCAGTCATCAAAAAACAATAATACATGAACCTTTGGCATTTTTTTCATTCAAGACTCCCCATGAAGTTTCCTTCCTGATTGTAGAGAAAAAATCCAGAAGCAACAGGTTCACTTTTTCATTTGTGCATTATATCTAATCATTAGTTAATTCAAAGGCAGATTAGGAAGCTCCAATCACCGTGTAATACTGCGTTTTTGAGAGGTTTTGGGATTTTGCATTATTGAATTATTATTGAAAGAGAGCACAAAACCCTCTATGGGCACATACCAAAGTTCAAAAGAGCTGAAATGGTTCACTGCATTACGTCTCATCCCTCAAGTCAGTGCCTTAGCACAGATAAATAATCGGTCCTCAGATTTTCACATGGAAAGGTGCAAATAAATGGCTAAAATTCTTGACTGAATGACATCAATCATGATCTCTTTGGTCAAGGTCAATTACCTCAACTCTCTGGTTCACAAATCAAAACTCCATGATCCAAGATTACTCATATTCCAAAATAAAGTCACATCTGAGGCAAAGGGACCAAAAAGACACTGCCAACCTTGGCAGTGAAACCATCCACTTTGATGGAGGTCTGGGCCTCTCACAAGAGGAGCATGTCCAACAATAGACAAGAAGGAAAAAAAATTCGGGTACAACTCTCAGATTATTATGTAATGTGACACTAACACTGTTGAATTTCAGAATGCTGAAAAAGATCTGGGGAAAATGGGGGACTTTAGGAAATGGCTCCAAAATAACAGGAAATAAATTTGGATCACACACTTCAACAAGCTTCAGGAGCTTGAAAGTCATATAAACAAAGCACAATGTCTCTTGTGATTTTTCTTTAAGACTTAAGTCTGCATTGCCTCTGGCAGAAAAATTCTTAAAGGGCTGATCCAACTTGCAACTAGGTCAACCAATATTGGTAAAGATATGGGAACCCTTAAAACTGAACTTGGAAAATCTCTAAAAAAAATAGTTACAATTGTCAGCAATAGGTAGAAATCCTGTGAAGCTCTTTCACAGGGCCTTTGGAAGGGCATTCATTTTACATAAAGTCTTCAATTGATAAATTTATATCTCATTCCAGTGACCTTCCCACTGACAAAAGCTGAGACATTTTATGCTGTTACAAAAATGTCAGTATGTGTACAGGTCATACATAGGAATACAAATTAATTATAATAATTTATTAAGTGTTTCCACATGCTTCACATGTAAAAAGACAATATGAATTAATTTTCAATAAATTAATTAAATCCAAATTAATTCAGTCTGCCAAGCAGGGAAATGATGAAATAGACTTCTCATCTCTCAGAAGTCCCCTCAACCAGGATCAAGCTTCTCTTGATCGGATTCGGAATCGGTGTCCTCTTCTCCAAATGTGTTGCAATCACCAACACTGAAATTCTTAGACAGTAATGCGGCGTCTAGGGCCAACCGATGAGGGTTCACAGGTAGCATCCCCGCCATGAATGAATTGCCACTTTCAGACTCTTCGTTGTCAGCTGCCTGAAATTGTATCCGATTGTGACCCCAAGATTGCTCATCAAGATCATGTTCCTCTTCGCATTCACAAAGAGGATCCTGCAAAGGTTCCTCTTCCGTTGGCACCTTCCCCATCTTGTTATAGACTTGCAGTTCCCTCTGCCTCCATTCGGCTGCTCGGAACACCAGGACGTGCCTCAGCTCGCGCAACAGATTTTGGGATTCTTCCTTGAGGATCTTGCGCTGAAGTAAGATCTCCTCATTGCCAGATCCATCATCAAAATTGAAAGTATCCTCGGCTTCAGCCTCGAATATCTGATCTTCCGGCACATATGGTTCTAGAGGAACATACTTGGTTTCCTTCATCTCAAACATTGCAGGTGATGTCATCTCACTTCCATGTTGGTGCAGGCCTTCCATCCCCTTGTCATGTTTCCTCCCTTCCTCGAGGCAGTCCAAGCATGCCAGGAGTTCAAGACGAAGTTCTTCAAATTCTGAATCCAAATCTCCTGTAGCTCTAGCCACATCCTCTTCCAGTTTTAGGGCTTTTGCAAGGGCAGCCTCCAGATGCAAGGTGAGACTGTGTACAAACACGTGTGCATTGGGTTTCAAATAGCTGTCTCGCGGGCCCTCAGGGTCTTGAGGGGCGATCTCCTTTGTGGATGAGCGCAGAGATGCACGCTGCAACTGCAAGCTTCTCTCTAATCCTTCTCCAGCCCCTTGCACATAGTCAAAGGCTTCCATCACCTTTAACACGGTCTGGACTGGTCTCTGTGCTTCACAAAGGTGCGATTGAAGAGAGAGGGCAAGACGCCGAAAGAACTCTGATTGGTGTGCAAGCATCATTGAGAATCCTTCCTGAAACATATATTCAAGGAAATGAATGAAAGAGAAGTTAGAGCATCAACAAAAATCCTGTTCAACAGGAAAAGATTGCTGTGTGGATAAACTGCTCTTCCCAAATACTTTACATCAGCATTTTCCACCATTACTTTTCAAATACTCATGAAATCAACTCATGAAGGACAACCTAGCAATAATAAACATGAAAATCTCAAGGTCCAAGGTTTCCTCTGCCCAGATATCACAATTCATTGCTGAATCTACAAAAATATACATATCATTTTTCCATAAGGTCAGCCTGATGTTGAAACCTGCATGAAAAGGCATTGAATATTACGGGACCTCTGACTCATCTGCTGGTTTCAGTGATCTGAAAGCAAAGCTTCTTTGAAAGAGACCTGAAACCATTCTTGAGTATTGTTGCAAACTGCATGTTGGATTTTACACCTTCCTTGGAGGGATTCAACTGCTGATGTCAGTCTCAGATTAACCCCTTTACTGGGTTAGACATCTTTAGACATCTGATCTCCAATAGGTAAAAAGTGTATTTGATGAATAACTTCCCAGTTATGGGGTTAGAGTGTAATAATATATATATATATATATTTCAATAAATAGTACCTTCTCCCCCCATCTCAAGTTGGTATAATTTGTACCATTTGGAATGCTGTAAGATTTTCCCTATAGCATGCAATTTCCTGAAACAAGATGAAAGTGCAATGAAAAGAAAATGATTGAGTCATAGCAACCCATGATGACACAGAGAGCCGAGTGCTTCTTTTATTTTTCTTTGGCAAGTTGCAGTATCATCCTGACATGAACTCCTGAATAAACGAACATCTATGGAACTGTCATCTACTTCCGGAATGACGATTCCAAAAAAAAAAAAGAACCATTATTAAATGTATTGGATTTGTTCTTATCCTCTTTGTGACTTCTAGGGGTTGTCACCAATGAGGAGGAAGTCAGCTCATCAAAAGACAGCAGTTCTGTTGTTAAACTCATATGTAAGGGCTTTTCTTCTGCACTGTGCTTAGCAAACATTCCCTTTCCTACAATTCCAAGAAATGCAGAAGGGCAAACATATAATGGGTTTATGCATTTTTTCCTTGCATGGCTGAGGAGTTTCCAGTGAGAGTTGAAAGCAGGTGAGGACTTCCGAAGTGGAAATTTCCAGACATGCAAGGAGTTTTTGCACATCAAGTTTCAGGCAGCTTTCTGGGGCATCCCCATGACAGTCTGGAATGACCAGACCACATCGCATTTTCCTTGCAAGAGCTTCAGGCATTTCCTGATCCAGAGTGAGTTTTGCAACACCCTCTGCAGAATCCTGAGTTTAGCTATGCATTCCAAGTAATGAACTGATTCCTGATGCCTTGAACTCTCCAGCTGACTTTAAACTCTGCTCAAGAATCTTTCATGCTTCCTATTTCAATGCTGAGTATTATCCCCATTGAATGAAGGTTTGGAAAGTTTAATTCAGAGCATACAGGCTCAAGTGAATTATTTATAAGCTGAACACACATATCTGCACAGTACCTTCAGCCTAGTTAGTTTCAGGCCATCTGCATCTTCCATTTTCAACAACAAAAGGTGCAAGTAGTCACAGGGGTTCTCGAGGCCACAGACGAGTGGAATCTCTTGAATGAGCTTCTGGGTGCTTGTGGCAAATGTCTCCTGGAGCTTCAGAGTGACCTTGAGAACTGCTTCCCGAAGATTGGTGCAGAAATGGGGAGATGAGGAATCCAGACCAGTGAGCCAGGATCCTGTGCAACGACGATCTACCAACCTGGAATCAAATGATCAAAAGCTTCTTGGAAATGGGAAAGTTGACTTCAAAGTAGAAGTAGGGATAGAAAGATATCAAAATTGAATTTAAACATGTGTTTAATGTTATTTGGTATCAGATATAGTGCTTCACAAGAATTTGATATTAATGAAACATAACATTCATTAACCATTCACTTGAGCCTACATATGGAAACATGCATTTCTCATCCTGATACCAAAATGACACTCTACAAAGTCAACCATCTCACATTTTTCTCAGATTCATTCCATCAACCATAGTTTTACTTATGATTAGCCCACCAGAAGAAACTGAATTCCAATTCTGTCATTTGTAACATGTGCTCCTTCACTACCAGATATCAATATCGGGATGAACATCGGGTGAAATGTTAGTCTGCTGGAAAATATGAAAGTCTACTTAGGTTTCTGCAGCACTGACAGAGTGAATCCCTTGGCAATGTAGATTCTCTCCTGGAGGAAAATGAGGCAGCTGTGGAGGATGCGGTTGGCTGACTGAACAGCGGCCAGATGGACCCTGAACCTGTCTCTGAGGGACTTTCGGGTCCACCATCTCCACCCGGCATAGCCTGAAGCCGGAAGGAGGACGAGCGCAGCAGAGACCATGGGACCGAACACCCATCCGCAGGAGAGGGCCAAGAGCAATCCAAGTCCTACTTCTTTCCAGCTGGGGGGGGGAAAAAAAAAACAATGCAGCCAATTAAGAATAGGCTTGTTTCAAGCAACATTCACTTTTATATATTTTTCCCAATAAGATTGGCCTTTCGCAATTATCTCAACGTATACCAAGCTCACAATCAGCTACCTGTAAATAAATTACTTAGGGCACTAAAAGTCTCCCCTATGGTGAGTTATGCAAGGAACACCTCCATAACCATGCCGCAAATCAGAGTGTTGCTGATCAGATTTCAAAGATGACATTCAGAATAAGTGGAAAATGGCAAGATTTTCAATGAAACTTTCCCCAACTTTAACAAAATAATTGAGATCTGAACACAAGGGAGTGAATGTCATCAAAGGCCTGCCATTCAGGACTCACTGTCCTCTCATTTCTTTCTTGTTTCTCTCCTCATCATGCCTTCACAAAAATCATGGTTTTGTGATGTAGGCATGAAGCATCATCACAGCAGGATTGAGAAGAGTACACAGCACAAAATCTAAAATCTAAAACATGGCGAGTTAATGTTTGGAATGCAAATTCTAGTCTTGTGCTTCTAGTTTCCTCCAGTCAAATTAAAACACATTCTATCAATATCCTATTGACAACTAAGGGTTCAGCCAGAAAATAATAATTTAAGACTCCAGAAAATGGCATAATGCTTGTACAGTCTTTAAAGAAACAGAAAAGTAGATTCTGGACTTTCTGACACTGTGGCCCTGGGCCTCCCTAAGATCAGCCTGCACCTCTAGAACATACCAGTGACAACCCTATATCCCTTGACACTAGTCAGTGGCATCCCAGAGAAACCTACTCACCTGACCAACTCATGGATAAGGGTTTTGGAAGCGTCAGACATGTGCAAGACCTCTTGCAAGAATTCCTGATCCTCTCTCAACAGGAGACCTGATTCCAAAATCTCCTTGGTTAGAGCTGTTGCTATCACCTTGTCCTGCAATGACCAAAGGAATCTTGTAACCAAAGGCACATCATTTCATATTCTTCCTTAGTGGTGAGCAGTCTTTGTTTTTCAGTCAACCATCATAGAAGCAAATGGGATTCCTTGTCTAAAAAGGAGAGCTTATATGCAATTTGGAAGCCAAAAATGGTTAATTAAAATCTTAAAATATCAAAACAGAATGATGGATAACAACCCCACCAGCTCTTCAGTCATCTATTTTTCTTATGCACAGGCCCAAGACTCATTCTAATTGTCTGCATGTTCAAGAAAGGAATGGATCCTGACATTACCCTTCCTTTGTTTCCCTTGATTACTGTCAGTCATTAATTTTGTGCATTATTTTCCCAGGTTCTTGGAACAAGAAAAAGATATGCTCATACATTGTCTGGTATGTGGGCATATTTATACATAATTACAGGTATTCATTCAGGCATTCTTCAGGCTAGAGAGGATGAAGAAACATGCCAGTCTGGTAGTGGCCAACTTCTTGTCCGATTTCTCACTGCATTCCTTTCCCTGGGCCTGGGTTGAGTCTGGCGGATGGAAGTAGGGATTTGTGTCCCTCTCAAAGTCGGCAGGAACCCGGACGTTTCTCGAGACCTCCTCCAATTCTGACAGGTAGTCACTTGGGAACTTGTCCTGTGATTGTAAGAATGGAATAAAAGTTAAATGTTAAATGGCATTCTTGATACTTAAAAAGTACTGCAGCACTAGTAAAGGATATCATCAGTCTTCAACAGCCTGTATAGCATTCGGGGGATTCCATATAAAATGGATACCTTAAAGCGCACCACACACATCAGTCAAGATTGAAAAACCCAGAACAAATTCTGGAAGAAATGGGATTCTTGAGAATGACAATCCTGATCTACACACAGTTTTATTAATTGAACATTGTCTCTTGTGTATCTTGACAAACTCGAACATTGACAAGAGCGACTCATTCGCCCCTTCACATTAGCATTATGCATAACCACCAAAGCCCCATCTCAGGCTTGAGGAACATGCAGAGATCGAAGGCTCTTACGGCACGATTGACTGGACAAAGAAACTAGATTTCTTTCCGATACAAGCGAGAGCCACTCAACCCAATGGTAAAGGACCATCACAGGCTCAAATTTTCATGCCAAAGTTCGAGAACTCTACGCCTGCACTTGAGGAAAGACCATCTCACCTCGAAGACGACGGAGATGTCGTCCTCCAGTTCTTCGACTGGCTCTTCCATATGGGACATGAGAGGCAGACAGGAAGATTCCGACTTTCAGAATGAGCCGATGGAGTCATAATTAAAGAAAGATGAATTCGAGATCGCAATCTGGTACTGCCGCATCCTGCAGGCACGTGTTCAACCGCACTGCGCCATACTGCTTCGAGTGCAGTGACCTCTATCTTATCTCATGCGCATTCGGGCTCATCCCTTCGCTCATCCTCCAGATGCCTCCCTGTCTCGTCACGTGAAATGCAATGGAAGTTTTCTGTTTCAACACACTGCCTTTCGGTCATGGGTTGAGTGGGCGAAGTTTCACTAGTGTTGAGCCCCGGCAAGCAACTCAGTGGCGTGAGTGTGCAGTTGCCACCGTATCAGCCGAAGGTCGACGAGTAGAGATCTGTGACTCATTAGGCGGATGGAACCTTAAAACTCATTCTGGGAGGAGAGGTCCTAACTTAATCAGCCCAAGTCAAGTCTTCTGCTTAAGCCAGGCGAAAGCCTGCTCCTACCTCGCGATTTGATCTTATTTCTTCCTTGTTTCTCTTGTGTGTTGAATGTGCGCTTAATGCTTGGTTAACAGAGTTAACGAACTTAGGCCAATGATTTGTAACTTGTTAGGAGTCTAGTCATGATACCTAACTCTGACTACCTTGGAAACATGGCTCCATGATGATACCTTGGAGTCAACAGGCACACAGATCAACTGTCATCAGCTCTTCTGGAAGTTCATTAATGATGAGATGTTTAAAAAAGGTTCAAGAGGAAATTGGAGCTTTCATCTCACCTTTTTGGCCAGGCATTCTCCCTGACCCTAAGCTCCTGCATAGTTCATTATTCAAAGAACGAATTATTCCATTTGGGCTTCCAAATTTAATTAAAATTTTTCTTTTAAATAATGCAGCAGTATTTTTTGGTCTCAGCTTTTCCTTTGTAGTCTGATAAATATGCTGAAAGACCCATTACTTTTGAGGGTTTGATGCTAATCTGAGATAGTCACTATCCAGGGTATTAGTGTGCTGAAGCTGTGGACTGCTGCATCTCTCCTTGTAATTGTGACTCTGAATTTGCAAGCGATCAATATTCATTCTTACTGTGAAGGACTTGGGTTTGGTCTTAGGGAAACCTTGGCAATGGTTTTCCACTCTTGCCCATCTGCTGGAATGAGGAATTCAAAGCTGCACAATTAGATTTTTTAGAAATCAAATCTGTGGTATGTCCAAGTACTATTTTAGGATTTAGAAACATAATTTTGCATACTTACTACATGAGTTGACACTTAATAGCTGCTGAAAATTGATCGTCATTTGTTCTTAGGTTACCCCACAAGGGGCCAAAGACAAAATGTCAGAGTACTGGCTGATTTCTGCCCCTGGGGAAAAGACATGTCAACAGACTTGGGAAACCCTCAATAGTACGACGGGCAAGCAGAATAATCTGTCGACAAATTGGAAATTTCATATCCCAGACCTGAAAGTGAGTTTGAACATATTGTGTCCCATGATTTGGGTTCATTGATTTTGATGTTTGGTATGTATATTTATATGCATGGAGTGACTTTTACCAACCACAAGGTCAGATGAAGTTTTTTTCTGTAGCTGCAATACTGATTCAGTGCACATTTCCTCCTGATTAGGTGGGAACCTTGGATCAGCTTGTTGGCCTTTCAGACGATCTGGGAAAATTGGACAATTATGTGGAGTCCGTTGCAAAGAAAATTGCAGCCTACCTAGGAGAGGTATTGGAAGATCAGCGAGACAAACTGGCCGAGAACCTCTTGGCCAACGGAGGTGAAGCTTATTTTCCGTCGGTTTGGTGCCGATTCGAAATGACTATTGTTTTCATCCTGGTGCTTGTCTGCTGCAGTTGATCTCCCGAATTACTTGACCAAGTTCCAGTGGGACATGGCCAAGTATCCAATCAAACAATCACTGAAGAGCATTGCTGATATCGTCAGCAAGCAGGTCACCCAGATTGAGGCAGACCTCAAGACCAAGTCTGCAGCTTATAATGCATTGAAAGGAAGTCTTCAAGCCATGGAGAGGAAGCAAACGTAAGACCTGTTGCAAAGTTTAATTGGTTGTTCTTAATGTTGCAAAGTAGTTAATTTTTTTTTTTGGGGGGGGGGGGGGGGGAGGAACCCCAGCATGGACAGGGTACGTGGCAGAGTCGTGCTTTTAGTTTGAGACTTGGAAGGGTAACAGCCATCACGAACAGATACCCGAGGGTCAAATGATTAAAACAGGCTGTTCTACGTGGGGGGGGGGGAAGAAGCCCATCATATATCTTAATTGAATCAGAAATACTTTATGGTGATGTCAGGTCTCCAGTGCAAGTTCTAGCCACACTGACAGTGCCATCCTCTGTCATTCAATGAGAAGGCATTCACATTCTTTGGTTGAATTGCATCTAGTTATATTAAGTATATATGGTTTTTCTCTTTGTTTATGGAAGAAGAATATCTCTATTGTGCATCAGTTTTGGAAGGTTTTCTGATCACACTTGTTCTTTCAATGTGCTCGACTAAGAAATCCTAATAAGTTCTGTTGTTATGCATCTGCTCCATAACATGAGTTGGAAGCCTTTCATCAACCAGAGAGATCAGTATTGAGAGACAGTTTGCCCTGGTTGCACACAGGGGGAGTCTGCTGGCCCGAAACCTTGGGGATCTGGTGAAGAAGGAAGACTTTGTCTTGGATTCTGAATACCTGACCACCCTTCTGGTTGTTGTCCCCAAGTAAGAGTTATACCATCATTTGCATTCTCATCCATCATGCAGGAGCAATCTGAAGTTTCCCCCTATTTTCCCAGGACTTATTACAACGATTGGTACAACAAGTACGAGCGATTGACCGACATGGTCGTCCCACGTTCCACGAAGCTCATCTTTGAAGATCAGGAGAGTGGACTGTTCACGATTACCCTCTTCTACAAGGTCATCGATGAGTTCAAACACCATGCCAGGGAGAACAAGTGAGCATCTCCATCTTATATTACTAGTAACACTTCACTTATGAAAAGGGAAGAGTTAATGCGATGCCACCTTGTCCTCTGCAGGTTTATTGTTCGTGACTTTGTTTACAATGAGGAAGAGCTGACAGCTGGCAAGAATGAGCTTACAAAGCTGGCTACTGATAAGAAGAAACAGTTTGTGAGTGTCTTGTCTTCCTTTGGGTGTTTTCAACATTCATGATGAACTTTAGGAGCTATATGGCACAAAAAAGCAGCTAAGTTCATCCTGATGCATACCTGCATTCAACACTCCCATAATGTGGGTATACATCAGGGAACTATATTGCACATCTAGCCTTTTTTTTTTTAAAGCAAATGTTGATGACTCAATGGGCACCAGCAGTCAGTAAAATGTAAAAGAATTAAAAATATTGGTGCAAACTTCTTTCCCTAGGGTGGTGTTTGTGAAACTCCCTGATGCCACACTTGACATTTTTTGGCACCTTATATCTACAGCGTAAGACTTAATCATCATTATGCCTTAGTATGCCATTAACATGCATAAAGGAAGGGTTCTGCAAATAGTTACATTTCTCTTGAGTGGATTCCTATTCCATTCCCTTGCCAATTTGTGAGGAATGATTTAACCAGGTTTTTTTCCTGAAACCCATGAACAGTTCAAGCCATCATACTGGAAAGCATCTTAATACTGCAAGAGAGGGCTTGTCAGCTGATGCTATAAGGTTTTACCATGTATCTGGGTATATGTTCAGGCAGGAATTCCTTGTTTTTTCATAAGCTTGTTTCTTGGGTACATTACAGGTCTACTGGATTTTGGCCCAATTCTCCATTTAAAGCTGTTAATATGGTTTTTTCTTCCTTCAGGGCCCCTTGGTCAGGTGGTTGAAAGTGAACTTCAGTGAGTCTTTCACTGCCTGGATTCATGTCAAGGCCCTCAGAGTCTTTGTTGAATCTGTGCTAAGGTATGATACCCTGAAATAGGGAAAATTTAAAGAGACAGTCAACTTGGTTGATTTGAAGCACTCACCACATTATCACAGGTATGGACTGCCAGTGAATTTCCAATCGATGTTGTTGTACCCCAACAAGAAGTCAAATATTAAGCGGCTTCGGGAGGTCCTCACTCAACTGTACAGTCACTTGGACAGCAGTGCTGGGACAGGAGGAGGGAATCAGCAATCTGATGTGAGTGCTGTCTGAGCTGCGTACTTTTTTGTGAGAAAAAAAAAGACTAATGAGATCAATTGTTCATATCCAGGTGGTTGACATTCCTGGTCTCACAGGCCTGGGACAGACTGAATACTATCCTTATGTCTTCTACAAAATCAATTTGGACATGGTGGAAGGGTTACAGGTGAAACCCTCCTGAATGCACACATTCCGCCTCAGCCATTCTCTTATTTCTCTTGCTAATACTTTGCAGTTATGAAGAACTCTTTAGGTCAATCCCTTGAATCTAACCAGGCACAAGTGGACTATTAACTTCTTTTCTTCACAGTTCTCCTGTCTCTTGCAGTCTTTCACTTTCTTACATTCCACTTTTGACATTGGCTGCAATGGCATTGCTAGTCATGTGATTTCCAGGTTTTGTCCTTTGTGAAACTGGCAGGTAAGGACAACCCCTGCCACAAGACCTAAGCTTTGTGGCAGGACTAAGGTGGAATCTCCATCAAAGCATTCAGAGATCCATTACCCCAGTGGTAGTCAATTGTTCATCCCATGTGAATCCTCATCCCCCATCCATTGACTACACTTGCCAGATCCTTGTCCCTTGGCTCCACTTTCACCCCCAGTGAATCCATCAACTTTGCCCTCAATCCTGTACCCCATCCATGAGTAGAACATTCATCTGATAGAGAAATGTCTTATTTATATGTTGTCGTCATAGTGAATATATGATACATATTATGCCAGTAATTGGTAGTGAAGTTAACTGAAATAAAAATGTGCAATTTGGAAGTTGAATCTCATTTTAATTTTGTTCCGTTGATTTCTTTGAACTGCACTGTGGCCCAGATTGAAGATCATAGTGGCAGCCAGCAGACACCAAATTAGGAAACACTCTAAAGAGGAAGTCAGGAAATATATGAAACTGTTGACAATCAAGTTCACATAGATTTAAACTTCTAATTTTGGTAAACTCATTCTTGACTCTGGTTAACATGTCCAATTTCTTGGTTATGCCTCCACCTCCCAGCTGGACATGACAGCATCTGCACTGAGATATGGGAATCCTCCAAATAGTTTTTTTTTTCTCCTCTCACTGATGACAATGGTTGGGGGTTGTTATGAGTGGAATGGCAAAGGGTTCTACCATAGGAACAAATGATGGAAGTCTCCAGTTCCCATTTTCAGAAAGATTTGTCTTGGTCTTTATTATCAAAAAAAAAACCTGAAGGAGAATCAGGAAAATGCTGGATATCCCAGAATTCCTGTCACTTAATTTCATTTTCTTAGCAAAAGCTAGGGTATGGGGCATTTTGAAAATAACGACAGACAGCATGCAATTACCTGTTGAAAGAAAAACCATTATCAATACAATAATGCAATCAGACTTTCACTCAGAAAGCAAAAATAAAAATAAAAATGTGATTGGAATTCTGGGACACCCTGCACATCAGTGGCTAAGTCTCATTTCAGGGTAGGAGCATTGACTATTTTCTCTGGAACAGTGGATGACTTCTGTCACACTTGAGAACAGACACCACATCCTTAGTTCTCAATGCCCTTTCTTGTGTGAAAATGAGGAATGTGTGACCGACAGGGTTCCCTTTTACTAGTAGCTGGTGACAAGAACAACTTTATTCTCCAACTATGTCAATAATATTGAAAACTAAATTCTCCCATTCCACCATGGCTTTTATGTCAGGTGAACTTCCAGTTTTTCATCTTTTTTGTTGTTTCACAGTATTTCTCTTTTGCTTTTTGATGTGCTTCTGAGACCCTGTTCCAAATGTATCTATATGAATGCCTCCATGTGCATAGTGGGACCCACATTGATCCAAGTACTGGCCTTGCTGAACATTAGAACTGAGCGAAAATGAAAGGCACTTCATGAAGCATGAACCAGAATATGATCATGCAAAGCATATTTGTATTTGGAAAAGAATAGCATATTGTCAACAAAAAAGAATTTCCTCTATCAAGAAATGAGCATCTTTCCTCATTGTTCACTTGTAACACATGACACTATGAACACAGATTCTTCAATGAGAACACCACATAATGTGGCATGCATGGTATTTGCAAAGCTTACAGCTGTCTCGTTTGAGCCTTAATTGTGTACCATCTACCTCTCTGGAGGGGAAGATGAGTCTTGCACAGATAAACGAAAAGAGGAATGCAATGGGTGTTATAAGTAGAGATCAATGGGGAGATTGGGATTTCCTTGAGGACTATACTGCCTCAAAACTAATTGTGGAGCGTAAAATAGGTCATACCCTGGAGAGTCTCATCTCAAGAATGTGTGATAGAAGCTCCATTCCTCCGAGTCTCATCAATTCATCAATCCAGAAAATGCTAAATGCCTGAAAACTAGTTCCTGTGCATCTGAAGCAGGCATGCTGTATGATGTTCAAAATGTCAAGAATTGAACAGAAGAATCTGTGAAGCTCGATTGAATCAGTTGCTATCATTCAAGCCAATAAGTGAGAGATCAGGCACTCTTTCTACTCCAGCCAGGGATAAGAGCACAAGACAGTCTTAAGAAAGTACTGCAACTTGTGTCATACAAAGAAATGACTTATGATCCATTTCAGTGTTCAGGGAGCAATTAACTGCAACATTAAATGTGCAGATTGTAACGGAAAATGTTCACTAACCAATACCTTTGTGGAAAAGATATGAACATGCCAGAAACTATGCAAATTTTTCATCATTCATGACCACAAAAAGATTTTGATTCGTGTTTGGCTCTTGAGTGCATACAAACATCTACCTTTCAGCAGTTCCAGGAATGACACACGTTACAACATGCAGTTCCCACAAGTTGTCAGATGTTTTCTATAACAGACTTGTGGACCAAGCACAACATGATGACCTATCACATTTAGGTAGATGAAAAAAATTATTACAATGAACCAGCACCAGTGGCAACGATCATGGAATGATAGGCAAATTCTCAGAACTAAGCTCTGAGCACAATGATTTACTGCAAGAGGACTCTACAATCTCTTTTTTCTTAAGCTAAAAATGTGAAAGGCACCAAGCGTATCATTCCCAATCACATTGCAGCAATGAATTCATTACATATCCTTTCATAAGTTCCTTTACAAATTCACAAACATTTCCATATGTATGTAGTCATAAGTCAATTTCACAAATTTAGTCCCTGAAATTGCATGCTTTGTGAGCTTGCACTTCAACCAAGAATTGCTAGCACAGAACCATAAATTAGTGAACTGCCAGTATTCAAGATATACTTAGCAATAATTGACAATGCCTAACAAAACGATACCCTCCTGGGGGATGACCTTTGAACTATTTGACTGATGGAGATGACAGCCACTGTCATCCTGAGCTATCATCCCAACTCATTTGCTGCATCAACCTTTCAGGTTCAAAACTAACAGATCTAACTTTACAGAATCTAACTAACAGAACTAACTTTACAGATCCTTGGTGAAGGCAGACCATTTGTGAAATAACTTTGTCATGTGCTCTGGCCTGGTTCTGTTAACTTGTCTGTTCTGTGACCAAGTACGAACTGATGTGCTTGGGGGAATCACATCAAAAGTTTTCTCCTCTGTAATTGAACTAGGCTGAGATATGCAATTTTTCTGTGTATCACTGTGCTAGAGTTGAAGTATGAAGTATAGAGTAAAGAGGATGCAAACATCTAGGGGAACTTGAGCTCAAATGAAGAGAAACACTTTCTGTCCTGATGATGGTAATTTACCCTTCTCCCGTGAGCAAGTTGTACAATGATGAAGCAGATCCAAAGAAAGCCACCACATGAGATATTCAGAGAAAAAAAGTATTGAGCTCTCCAAGGCAGATTGTGCATCAGTTGAATATCCAACCAGTAGCATGTAAGATGTCCTTATCACAAGCCTTTTGGACTGGAACAGGCAGCACCATGCAAGGATAAAGCTAAAGCAGTGATGGCAAGGTGTGAGAGCATCATTCCAATAGGGTGTTGGCCTTCACGTGAGCCTGCAATCAAAATCAAACGTGTCGGAAGAGTCGGTCCTCGGCGTGCCAAATTTTCCTCATAGCAACCTATTTTCTGGGGACTGACCTTGTTGGCTTGAATAATGGATTTCCAGTCCTTTGCTGCCACTTTTGGGACAGCATGAGTCAATATCTCAATGAGGTTTTTCCCACTCAGCTGAAGAGTGCTCTTGACCATGTTGAGATCAACATGGACATCGTTGCTCCCATGCCGCCACGAGTCGTAATCGGTCACCATCCCGATGGCTGCATAGCACAACCCAGCCTCCTTGGCTAGGACCACCTGAAATCCAAAATTGCACACTCATACAAACACTAACTGTGTCGAGCGTCACAGTAGTGCCAAAAGCCTACCTCAGGAAAGGTGGTCATATTGATGACATCCCCACCCCATGCCCTGAACATGCGACTCTCTGCCTTAGAGGAGAATCGTGGTCCCTCAACAGTCACAACAGTCCCTGTTAAGTGGCATTTAAGACCCAAGTCTTGGGCTGCTTCCCTCAGCAACTCTCTTGTGTGAGGGCAAAATGGAGTGTCCATTGGGAGGTGGCAGATTCCAGGTGGGCTCATGGGGCTCCCATCAAAGAACGTGACAGAGCGAATTGTTGTCCTGAGGGACATACAGAAACAGTGCTTACTTCTGGTACCTGCATTCACTCTCCACATTAAATTCTGTCATGATTTGTTGCCCATAAGAATTCTAAACCAAAACTTCTCAACCTCTCTAAAATGCAAAGGCATCCAGTAAAACATTTAATGTTTTTTTCTGGAAAGTTGGAAGTCAGAGAGATCATGTTTGCATAAGTTTGCTGGAAGGGCTTTGAAACTGGCACACCTGTCAATGAACTGGTCGAAGAGGACAAGATCCCCAGGAGCATAGTCTTCCCGTAGGGAACCACATGCAGAGGACACAAGTATGTGCGTGCAGCCAGCCTCCTTCAGGGCCCATACATTTGCACGAAAATTGATGTTGCTTGGCATGATGGAATGCTTGCGACCATGCCTGAAATGTTCAAATTATCTCACTCAATATCCACTTCCAATTACATGGCTTCACTTGGTTATATTTCATATAGCCATTTATTTATATTCATTTTTTCAGGTGAAATATCTGATTGTTGCCAGTTCAAAATCTCTTTCCACCTTGTAATCAGTACTCTTGACAACATTAGTACTACAAAGATGTTTCATCCTATTCAGCAAATATAGACTTACCTAGTCAAAGGTTTGACATGCTTTAAAAGCATGTTTCTTTTTCAATTTTGGGATTCTTATGGGCCAGTGCCCTCAATTCAAGGACTACTTTTTTAGGATGACAATTCAGCATTGTTCAATGGCAAAGTATAACAATCACAGCATCCTCTGTATTATTATACATTGGTCCTCAGCTAAACAAGTCACAGCAGCAAGATGGAGCAATTCTGCAGCAGGATGTAAAGAAAATGGCTCAAGGGTACAAATGAAGACATATTAAAAATAAGTACCTGGAGAGCAGAACACAGTCCACACCACTGATCTTCCCATGAATGAGGACGTCACTTGGCTTGCCAAAGATGGTGTCGGCGTGCCATTCTTGTGGCTCAGACAAGAGATCCAGATTTGCAAGCCCTGTCCCAGCTATGATCCCTACCTATGGGAATCCATCAAGGCAAAACAGATCAGTCAAGTGACAACAAATGGATATGGAATGGCATACGTTTAAAATAGGCAATTTCATCTTCTTGTACCAAAGGGTACATAAAATAAAACCAAGAATAAAATAAATAAAAAAGGGAAAATAAAACCAAGCAAGTCTCTCCAGCAACTTATTCACAAGAGCTAGAATCCACTAAAGAACAAAGCATTCCAACTTCAACTCTTTGACAAGTCCCTGTACCCCTGAACTTTTTCCTAGTTAGGGTTGTCCATTTACATGGAACCATATGGAATAATCAATATTTAATTTTTTTCAGATTCAGACTTGTGAGGGTTAAGTGAAGATAATGAATTTATCCTAATGCAAAAGGGTGCAAATAATTTGTATGTCTGGTTCATGTACTGCAAGGCTGCAGACTTAAATGAAGCCAATCCAGATTGTGAACTTATTACTCACAGTTGCATAGTGAAGTTATTGTCCAAATTGAAAGAGACTGGATCCGTGTTGGATAAACCTCATGTAAGAAAGAAAATGATACTATATTGTACTATAAATAAATGTAAATAGACTTTTCAGTTTTTATTACACCCTATGGTTCCATTTAAATGGACCACCCTGTAGAATAGGATATCAAAATTAAATGCATGCATTTGGTTTTTCTTAAATGTATTTTTACATTTAACAATGTACATTCATGTACGAATGCAAATGAAGGGTGTTAGAAAACCTGAGACCATAGTTTGAAATGACCCAGTCTGTGCCTTGGCAATTAGAACATAGTTTGTGTGTACCTTGACAGCAGACATGGCGATGGACAGGATGTCTGGTGATTGTCTAGTGATCTCTTGTGATCTTCACTCACACTCCCTATGTTCTGCGATCTCCACTCTCACTCCATTCCTTCAGATCACAGGAAAACGAGAAGAGGATTGATTCAATAGGGCATCTGCTTGCCCCAGTAGAGAATTTGGATTAGTGGACAATTTGACTATTATTATATTTCAGGGGTCAATACTAATACCAACAGATTGTGACTGAAGACAACCTAACCAGAATAGAAATGGAACATGAACCTTCCATCTGCTCAAGAGTTCAAATCAAACAGACTTTTCACAGATGCTTGCAAGGATGCCTCCTTCACAGCTCCCCCCCCCCCACCCATCAAGAGCTTCTGCTGCTTTCAATACAAATCCAGCCCACCAGGAACTTTCTAGGTCAAGTTGCTGACACCCTTGGCAATGTACAGAAGTTCTTCACACTGCATGCAGACAGTTACTCAACTGTCTGACAGGCAGAGGAGCATTGGTAACCTTAATGGATTTAGCAAAAGGCTCCTCTTCTAAACTGATTCTTGACTAGTTGGAAAGCAGCAGGTTCATAAACCTTCATTCAGGTTTATACTGTCAGCATAAAATATAATAAATTGAGAATTCCAAAGTTGCAGCATGACAATCCAGTAAAAGGGCAGGTTATACTTAGTCTGGTTTCAGTTCTTTCTTCTAGTCATGCAAGCCAATAAAAAACATTAATTGACTTAGTTCTTGCTCATGTTTACATAGTAAAGAGTTTTTTTTTCTAGTTGCTGTATCTGAAAACTGGGCACAAGCCCAGTGGAGCAAACTATGCAAATATATATATATAAATACAATATATATCCTTGGAAAGCTCTGAATGACATCTTTCAATTGCCCCTATTTTTGCTGGAGAATCTCTCATATGAACAATGTCACATACATTTTTCTTAAGTTCAAAACCTCATTTGAAAAGCCTTTAAAAATAGGTTTTCAAATCCCAGAATTTATGACTCAGTAAATTCTCCATTGAGTTCTCAAGCCACCAAATGCTGACAAACAAATTTTTGTCAGAATCAAAAACTATGCTTCTTTGATTTGATGCTTGATTGGCATATTTGGTGCAACCATAGTAGAAACCAGCATCTTTCAAGCTTTGAAGACAATTATTGAAAGCATTTTTGCAGAGGTTTGGGTCTGTACAGAGAGCACCACATTGCTATTAGCTCAAATAATTAGGAACTCCTCAGTAACTCTGTTTCGAGAGCATACCACTGGGTGGCCACAGTTACTCAAGTTTCAGCCCGATTCTCAAGGACAATATCAAGGGGTGGATGGAGAACAAAAGCCAAAGCATGCATCACACTTAAGATCAGCCAAATCTACAGGTTACAAGGGTCAGTCAATAAGTTCTGAGACTTCTCATCAAAAAGTGAATAAAAGTCAGCTTAGCTAATACTTCTATATTGATCCTTCAAAGTACTCTTCAAGGCAGTCTACAACACATTGCCACCTATGTGGGCGATCTGGAATGCCTCCATCCAGCCCATTTCATTGTTTTTTCCTCAGCTTCTGAGAAACGGACAGGTTGATATCTGCCAAGGATTGATAGCGGATGCCACAAGGGTATTCCATCAAGAAGATTCAGCTGAATTATGATGTACCACCTGATGAATCTGTCAACACCAACCTGTACTGATAGGTTCTGATTCACAGGTTGTGGCTGGCTATAGTTCAAAAAGCAGCTGGAGTTGATCGAGCAAGGTCCACTGTTTCTTCACGATGGCAATGGTCCTCACAGGGCACATATTATTGGTATGCAACTAGCTGAATGGGACTGGAAATTGCTGGCTCACCCTCCTTATTCACCAGACCTCTCTCCCCCAGACTTCCATCTGTTCCCAAAACTCAAAGAACCACTTCATGGCATCTGCTACCAATCCTTGGTAGATGTCAACCTGGCTGTTTCTGAGAAGCTGAGGGACATACAATGAAATGGGCTGCATGGAGGCATTCCAGCCCTCCCACATAGGTGGCAACGTGTTGTAGACTTCCTTGGAGAGTACTTTGAAGGATCAATATAGAAGTATTAGCTAAGCTGACTTTATTCACTTATTCATGAGGGGTCTCAGAACTTATTGACTGACCCTCATATGTTTCGTGAATTGCTTTTAAATTATAAAAACCAGAAGTGATAAGTGAATATTAAGTATAAACAGTGTGATTTCCAAAGTACGTATCATTCAATGTGAATCTCAAAACCGCATAAACTCAAAAACTTAGTAGACTAACAAAACCTGGGACTATCTCAAAAAGTCCAAAAAGTTATGTCACCATTGCAAAGCTATCTCTCTTGCTTTATAATTGAACTCTGCTAAGAACTAAATATGTAATCTGCTATAGTTTGGGGATTTATGGCATAGAAAATCTCAAGTGATTCAAAAAAGACCTCATCTTTGAGCTAAAGAAACATAAAGAAGTCCCATCATTTGCTTCTTGTCAATCAGTTACAAAATTGCTCCAAACCAATAGACTCAGCAGATAGGTTTAACCCTTTCTCCACTGAGTTATATCTGGGACAGCGGCTGAGAGCAACGATGGAAAACGGGTGTACTTGGGAGACACAGTTAAAGAATTAAGAATACCATAAAATCATTTCTCTCAGATGTTTCTTTTCTTAGGATGCTAACATATAAAAAAAATAAAAAATAAAAAAACTATTTCATATATAGCAGTTCTCAAAAAAAGCCTATAAAACCTTCTGAAAGGTCACCTTCAGCTAACTTACTCTGCAGAGTAAGTTAGCTGAACATACAGCATTAAACTAATTTCTTGTACCAGTCAGCGATGGTACATCTCAGTAACAATGATTTCTATTCCATGGAGAGGTCACGCTTGCTGTCCAAGTACAGCAAGCTGGGGTGAATCCCCAGGCAGATGCTTCTCTCCTCACGTCAAAATGATTTATCTCTTTATGAGAATGGTTTATAACACTCTTAAGAAGGAAAAAGTACATTACTCATCAGTACAATTCCACTTGAGAGTTGATATCAAGTGTTGGATAGAATTATTTTAAGGGTGAGAAATTTTCTATCAGAGGTAGATGGCAGATGGCAAACTGAGAGAAGACAAGGACAAAAAGTTCTATCATACTGAATCCAGTAATGCTTTTAGATGCATCAGAGTAATTTTATGATGTAAAATGAAATTATGCATTTCCATCATGAAAAAAGAGTAAAATAATGGCATGGAAATCTAACTATGCCAATAATGGGGACCTAATGAGGCTATGAAAATAAAAAAGCATTATGAAATACTCTTAGCTACTTTGATGCTTATCTTCAATATCAGTCTAAGAAAAATTGTAATGTCATACCATTTACACAAAATCTGAAAAAAGCGACATTGTGCACAAGCACAATAGCTCATCGTCTACTACTACAACAGTGAACCATTTTTAAAGGGCAATTGTGTTTCACCAAAAACTGAGCTCTGCAAAATGAAAACACAGTCTTTGGTCCCAAAATTGTCCTGAGCAAATGTCCTTATGTCACCAAAGACAATCAGAAAACACACAGTATTAGGCAATAAGTACTTTCTGGTTTCACGCAGTCCAAACCATCACTCTCCCTATCCTATGCAAATTATATAGTGAGGCTGAAGCCAGGTGATGGATGCACATCATCTTCCTGAAATTACAAAACTTTCTCCCATGTTTATATGCATGTTTCCACACTTTAGTAAAATAAGAAGTGAAGCTCTGTGAATATATGTGAAGCTCTTGTACTAGTTGCATATGGAGACAATGGGAACAAGTAGAACACAGTTCAAAGTCTAGCTGAGTCTAGACACTCCAGTAGAATATACTTCACTTATGTGCTCTAAACCTGTAATCAGGACCTCTCCAGTCCCTGCAGTGTGTGACACACTGCAGGGACTGGATTATAATAGCAATTATAGCATGGTAAGTATGCAATTATAGCATGTATGTAAAAACCACACTAACCAATTAAATTATCCTTATTATTTCTTGGGGACAGGCAAGATAACTACAGAGGTGAAGATGATCACTGACACGCAGACAAGAAACATACAAACAGATTTTATTTCATCCACAACGTCTTCATCCCGAATTCTAAATAATATTGTGAGATCAGTCCCCATTTCTCTCCTTCTTGGCCTTCCTGACTTTCATCTCCTTCATCTCGCTTTCCCACTGCTTCCGGTACATGGTATACAAGCGCATTGCTGCCTGGGCATCTTGCACCTTCATAGGTCAAATAGAATACATGTTAGTGTTACCAATGAGATTCATCATCTTCACATGGCAAGTTACATAAACAAGAAAACAGAATAACTGGTCAGCACTAGAAATCAATAAATACCTAATTTTATTTAAAAGTATTTCTCAATCATATTCACTTGGTCAAATGCAGAGTGAAGGTCCACTGATATGCACTCCTGCATTTCAGAAGGCACTTACTTCCCATCGCAGATCAATGCAACATCATTGCACCTCGCACTGAATTTAACATTGTCCATTATGTACATGAGGTGGAAATATGAGCACTCATTTTAGATTTGTAAGAGATTATTGATATTCCATTTTGACATGTCTCTCTCACAGTTTTGGAAAAGTTATAGATCTGAGCTGACTGTCATAGAGGAGAACCAGAAGAGAATGTTCGAGCTGCCTGGGCAATTTGCATGGGGATATTAATATATTTTCTGCAGGCATGATGAATAAACAGGCACATTATTAGAATCTCACTGAAATGAACCCATATGCAATCCATGCAGAGAGAGATCCATCAGGGCCAGATTAAGGGGGGGGACAAAGGGGGCAGTTGCCCTGGGCCTCACTCTTCCCGAGGGCACCAAAAGGAAATTTAAAATGTCAAGTTAAAAAAAAGTATTGTATTTGCGTAAAGTAGCAGAGGGGGGAGCTCCAGGAATTCGCTTGCTCCAGGCCCACAACTTCTTAAGCCCTGAATTCCTTAGATTAAAATCAAAGTATATAATCATAGCAAAAATTCCCCCCTTGGGGGTCATGAAAGGAAAAGAAAAAAGAATCAATGTTCTAGCAGTCAGGGTGAATAAGCATAGTCTTGCATTGAATTATCTTTGATCTGAGAGTGCGAGCAGGTAGCAGGGCTAGAGAACTCTAAAAGTTCCAGTAACTCCCCCCTGCAAGAATTTTATATATAAGTACAGCCCAGCAATTTACTTCAAGCAATACTTCCAAGGCCTCTGAGATATAATTAATTACCTCTTCTTTAAAGATTAGCAAAATAACTTGAAATCATGTCAACTATTTCCATTTGTGTCTCCTTACTGTCAAATTCCAAAACCCCATGGTATTTCCAAAACAGTCCAAGAAAACTATTGGGGATAAGAGGTTTCCTTTTATACCTTCGTATGATAAAAACTCAAGTCTAAAAAATGGAGCATACATGAAGGCAAAGGTACATCATCTCTGACTGTTGCACTGCCATCACCTCTCAAGATAAATCAACAACATATTTCAGATTTCAATTTGAATGGAAAGGATTTAGAAAATAAGTTCACTGATACCCATAAAGAACTGGATACACCAGAAAAAAAAAACCTGTCCTGCCACCTCACTCATGCAAACCTTGCTGTGAAATAAAAGCAGATTTTGGAACAGTAAACATCTGTCTCACCGAACTGTGCTCTCCAACTTGCACAGTGACCCCCAAGAGCTGAGCACAGAGATTCTTCAAGCTGGGGGTCTTACCATTGAAGAGGGCACGGAAGGGCCGGAACCTGACAAAAACAAAGACAAGAAGAGGATATTATAAAATAACTATAGAGGGCTTTCAGATGGAAAGAGTAAACACAGAATTTTAGCATGGTCGCAGAGGTCTCACTTAACATAGTGAGTATTTCTACAGCAATGCAGGCTCTTCCTATCTATAGGAAGACTATCTTAATGAAGACTTGCCATGCAACAGGAAAAGGATGATAAAGGCCAAAGGGCTAATTCCTTAGTGGATACAATAGGATACAGCAGAACAATAGTGATGAACCAAACAGGTTTCCTAGAGGGGGCCATAAAACTTATGCAGACCTGGTGCATATCACTCAATGTCTGATAAGGTTTTTGAAATGCACTGGACCAAGCCCAATCCCACAAAATAAAATTCCTTAAGAGGAACCAATGATGAAGTGTGCATGGTCATCCTGAGATGATGATTTCAGGGGAGTGAGTGAGGTTTAAAAAAAGCTGATGACTCACCTTGATGTGTCTCTTAATTTCTTCCTGGGATGTGACAGAAAGAGGACATTGAGGTCATGCTTGAGAGCATGGCCAACCAGGATTCGGCCATTCAGAATCTCAGCCACTTCTTTCTGCACCACCTCAAACTCCTCTCCTGCATCACAAGGAAATAGAAAAAGCATCAGTTACTTTTCCCATTTAGAAAGGGTTTAATTCAATCTGAATCCCTCTGAGAACACACCATTGGCAGCAAGTTCAGGGGTGACACCACTGACTTTGGTGCGATAGTCAGTGACTCTCTCAGTTGGTTTCACAAACTTGTCATAGACGCAGTGGCCAAAGTGATTCACAATAGATACACGAGCAATGATGCTGTCGGAACCATCTTCCCCTACACCCACCATTTCACAGTCCATGGCTATCACTTTTGTCAACCTGATATGATAATAGGAATAAAAAAATAAATGAAACCAAGGATACATCAAAGAGATGGGGTACATGAACTTTTTTCTATGGGATCAAAAGCAATTAAGGTTCATGGTCACAGAATGCCAATCAATGGATGAACAATGACAATTCTACTCCCACAATTTTGCTTTCATTCCTCAGTCAGGAACAGGTGCCCTCTGAACAATTGATGCCTTCTGATTGATGATGACCAAACTGATAAAGTTCATAAAATTGCCTTTGATAGAATTGTCCAAGTTAGATGATTGCTGCACAACCAACAACGGAACAAGGGCCAACTGGCAAGAGTGAAGATGAGAAGTCTATTGATAGGAATGGACTAATTCCCCAATTGAAGGAAGGAGGGAGGGGGTCCCCCTCCTTCCTTCGATTGGGGATTTGCCAAGTTTCCTCTTTAAAAAATATTCTGCCTTTTATTTCTTGGCAAGGAGTATACAATTACAAGAAGGAAGTGAGAAAAGAAATTACTGGGCTGCAATATAGAATCTATGATCAATCACTCAACTGAGGTCTTCATTGCTAAGCAATCATCATTTTTTATATTAAAATGATTGTGAGTAATCATGTAACAGATTCCCAAATCTCTCATTGAATGTATCCCATTGAGACAGTGATAAAATTGAAGCTTCAAATCATAACTTTTACCATACTTTTTACCAAGTGAAACTGGAATTTACAGGATCCACAATGCATGCAAGGAAATGAAAGCTAATGCCAAGTAGAGATGTCCCTTTGTTTTCCTTGCAACATTGAGATTTAACAGATTTAACTCGACCAGCCTGAGCTGGAGTGCCTGATATCAACCCAAAAATGAAAAACTTAGTTCACTATGATAGGTGCATGATGGGAAAAGCCTACTTTTTCACAGAATATTATCTCAAATTATAAATATAAATGGCAATATATGGCAAAGATTGAATCCCATGATAAGCATGGATATCCTCCTACCAGTCATACTGCCTTCAACTGCAAACTTAAGTTCCATGTTTGACTTCCTCTCTCTCTCATCATATGACTTGCCTCATTCTTCCCAACTTTGTGGTTTCTTCCCGAGGAATCTACTGAATCTACTGATTCTATCAATCAAGGAAAACCTTCCATATATCATGTCTACCATGGGATTACATCCATCTATGCAAAGCTGAAACATGTGAAGTTATTCAAGTTCATCACTGCTGAGAAAAACACTCTATCCCAGAGACCATTAAAAATTCTACAATCAAGACACTCACCCCTGGAAAGAGTGTGGTTTCTTCAGCAGTAGTAGGCACAAGTCACAAAGTGGAAGGTTCCTTGGACTTGATTCTACAAAACCGGAACTGACTAGATAATCGTGACCTAGTTGTAGTAGTTTGGTTTAGAGGTTACCAAGTCCCAGACGTCCAAAAACTTCCTCGACCTGTTTTGGTTTCACCCTTCGAACTTTTGAGTCTTTAACCTCTTTTCGCTTCTTCTTCAGTTCTGCTAACTTCCTGCGCTTCTCAATATAGTACTTTGCAGGCTTCTGATCAGTTTTTGGCTCAAGCTTGGGTAGCATCTAAAAGCAAGCAAAGGTCACAAAGATAAAGGAATTTTCATATTTCAATTTCATTTAAAAAATGCAACAAGAATGAAACATCCTTGATGTGATGAAATACTATAGTAATACACCCCATGCAACTGAAATTTCACTCTATAATGCAAATTTCTTAGGAAGAGGGACTGTCAAATGAATGGATGAATTCGATATAGGCACAGGAATCCAATGAAAATATGGGGGAATCCATACCTGAAGCAACTTCTTCCAGTTGGCTGAGGCTTCTTCTGGTTTCTTTGGGAGCCTTGCTTCAGGCTTGAAGGTAGCTACCTGTCCAGAATTCTCACTTGAAACATCACGTTTTTCTGTGTCCTTCCCTTTTGCACCATGTGTGTCAGGCACTAATGCCAACTGATATTTTCTTTTACCCTGTCTTCTGGGCTTTCTGCGTTTCTGATGCTTACCCCCATGCTGAAAGCCAGGCTTCTTAGATCCTGGAATATTCTCAATGGCAGTGATTGCATGCCTTTTACGAGATTTTCCTGCAACCATGGATTGGTTCATGGGCCTTGCAGAAGTCTCCATGCTGTAAACCAAACCTATAGACACTGGAAGACTAAAAGCAATTTTGACTAGAAACAAATTTTGGAAGTGGTTCATAATGCACATGAATGCATCAGGATTAATAAGAACCAGACACACTGATACAAAGCACTAGAAAACATTCTTGCTGCCAAGCATGATGATGAAAACATGCTGGCCAGGTTTCACACCTGTATAACATCCAATTTCATTAGGGTATGAGGTAATTACCATCAATTCAGTCTTTGTGCCTAGGTCTGCAATGAGCCTGCAATGACTAACTTCCACGTAAATACATGGAACTCCATCAAGGACTGATGCAAAGACCACTCCTTTTGGGGCAGCTTCACATTGCCAAGTAATTTTATGATCACAAAAAAGTTAGATATAAAAACCATTACAATGTTTAGTCTGCATAATCAACATAGGGGAAGCACAGTTCTGCATCATTCAATGACAGCTGAAATGATTACAGGCTAAGGTAGGGTTCAAGGGCAGAAGAATAAAGTCAAATTTTTCATTTTGTTATTTTTATTTATTTCCTTCATAGCAGAGCAAGAAAATTGAAACCTGCTATGACTTTTTGGAGGAAACTAAGTCCTTTAAAAGCCCATGAGCATCACGTTGCCTCTTTGGGTACTACTGAACTAGAAAAGAAATGTTCAAGACCTGTGAGATAATGACCAAACGTGACAAATTGAATCTTCTTGCAATACAAAAAACCTTCATATCCATCTTGCAGCTCCATGCAGAGAGCAGATGCAGCAAACACCAGTCTCCAGCGAGTTGAATACCCATGGGGATGGGGTGAAAAATAAAGAAAAGCTTATACAATCTTCAGAATTTCTTATATTTTATTCATATATGGCATCTAAAATGTAGAAAAAAATAAAGTATTGAGTGTAATGTGAACAAGCCACATATGCAAACTTGACAACTACTGCCTACCAAAAATTTAATCACACACTAGCCACACCTTCTCACAGCAAAAAAAACTCCTGGTCTAAATAAAACAGCCATCCAGGATTGGTCTACAAGGAGGGATAGACCCTTTCTCTTAGGCCATTTTGGCAAAATGCAACATTTTCCACCACCAATTTCAGTTTGATGAGTAAACCATACAACCATGCTTTCCATTTGAGCTTTGTGTCCGTGACGGCATTTTTGACAAGATATTAGCACATAAATTAGCTATGTTTTTGCTAAGTGGCTTGAACTTCTCTCTTGTTCCAGTATAAATGACATCATATATGGCCATAAAAATGAGCCAATGAAAGGGAAGGGCTTCACGTACACAAACAAATGTTATACCATGAGTTATGAGTTCAGGTCAGCAACGACTGATTAAATCAAAGCAAAGAAAACTTAAATGATCCCACTCTGCATTCCAAAGACCCAAAAAACATCAATAAGGCAAAAATATTATAAGAAAACCATTTCCCCATGATAGATTCTGGGATATCAGCCCATACACCTTCACATTGAGTAGCAAATTAGGGAAAATACTTATTTAAATTAAAAAAATCTCACAGGTGTGAAAGGAATTTCCTCACATGCCAACCTAGAAGTGAATGACATTTGCATACCTTATCACAATCTCTGACATCTGGCATTAGGGGTATCCTAACTCCTTTTGAAGCAGTATGGAGTCCCTTATGTCTTACATCCCACTTTTTGTACTTCATTGAATTTCAATATATTCTGTTTATATCCAAATTTTCCCTGTCGTTCCATTGTGATTTTTCAATTTTCCACCTTATCAACAGATATCTCTGACTTGGCATTCAGAGGTTGAAAAGAGATGCTTAGCATTTGGATCACTGCAAATACCAAATGAAGAGTACTCAGGGTCTAATGTCTCACTGTTACAAGCTAAAGTGTATAAAAAGCACTTTAGAAATGGTCTGACTGTTCCCATCCCTTCAGTTACATTCTGACAGCTTCATGGAACTTCACAGGTGAGATGAGAAAGAGAAATCTCTTTACTATCAGACCACAAAAAACTTAGGACTGGACTTCCTTCTCCTCTCAATGAGTAACCCATCTAAATCCAGAGTAGCAATGACAGCAAAGAAAGAACAGGGAAAGGCTAAATGTGGCTAACAGGAAGGATTTTGGTGAGACCTTGAATTCTGCACACAAAGGAAAAAGTAGGATTAACATATCAAACATCTCTTTTCATTAAGGACTCTGCCACTGTTTCATATCCACATGAATTTCTACCAATTCCAATAATAAGAAAAAACAAGGCAGCTTTAGTTTGTACTCTCCTCCGCACTGCTATGCACTATCTCAAACCAGAGCTAAGGTAGTATAACCTTGAAATTACTGACTGGCCTCACAAATTCACACACTTTCCATAGTGCAAATTAAATGCTCACTTGCTGACTTGGTCTAATGACACTGCATTTCAGAAATATAAGACTGAAAATTTTCCTTTGTAAAAGTTCAAAAGAAAATTTCAAAATAGTATCCAGAGGAATGCATGAGATGACAATAATCCCTCAGGATTCCCATCAAGTTATGTTTTAAACAAAAAACAGGCCAGGGATAAGACCCTGCACCATGTGATTGGTACCAATCAATCGCCTGCATCAGGTAGTGACAGCCATCCTTATTCCTTAATTTCCAAGAGTTTCAGATTGTTAATTAGCAGGAAAAGTGTTATAGATTCAAACATGCATGAATAGCCCTCAATAAACTTCACAAGAACTTAGTGCTTCCAAGAGAGGGACATGAATTGAAAAATCAACCTCTTAAATAGCCTTATGCAATGTGGCATCAAAAAAACACAAAAGAAAATTCAGCCGTCTTCAAGACAAACTAGGCCTATTAACATGACCATCAAAAGTAGAAACCCACCAACATGAATTCAACACATAGCCTACAAAAAAAAACACAAGAAACAAAGTCCCTGAGAGATATAAGGGATGGTCAGAAAGTAACAAGACTATGATGATGCAAATGAAAAAATGAAATGATGGGTTGGAAAACATATTCCCGAACTTTGAAGATACTTTTCAATTGAATAAGTGGGCCTTGTGCTTTTGAAACATAAGTATCTCCTTCCTACAATAATGAACTTGGAGAGAACCCAGTGTTTTTGTTTGCAACAGGACAATGCTTAATACAAGTTTTTTTATTTTGTGCCCCTTTATACAGTGGTTTTGTAAAAGCTTCCTCCAATTTTGGATGCTAATCTCAAAGTTGAAAGTAAAAATTATTAGAGATTACTGCACCACTTGCGACTTCTGCAGGAGGTAAAACACCATAATTACTTACAGCTTGAGTCTGAGGTGAGGGTGTGCCACTTTGATGCTGATCTGCTCACTCCAGAGCCACCAAATAAATATATGCCTCAATTGGAAATGAAACCTTATGCATGTACAACTCCAATTAGATTCCAGGGGCCTTCTTCCTTTTCTTCGAAGCATGACCTGAGCTCATAGGGCAATGCTTTGGGTTTGAACCAGAGCTCAAGCATGCCATAAGGGGTACTCTAAAGTGCATGTCCAAGTCTGGGATCTCTCACAAGTACAAGATGTGAAAGAGCTGATGGAATCAGTTCTTAAAACCTAAGGGTTAACACTCAAAGCATGAAACATGAATGGCAATTTGCTGGAATTCAGCAGCTCCTAAGAAAAGTCAGTCTTGTTACTTTCTGAACACTCCTTGTAATCATAGGAAAAAGGGAAGACAATGGGTGACATATACCCTCAATAGAATTTCAAGGGCATATCTGAGATTCCAAAGATTTCAGTTAGACACCTTCCCACAAACAAAAAAACTTAAAATCTCATAATTGAGATACTAAATGACCCTTATTTTCATGCTACTGGGAGGGGTTGCTTACCCAATGACTTTAAGGATGCCTGACTTTGAGAAACAAGACTACTAAGGCATGGTGAACTCATTTCATCACCGACAACCAACTCACCCACAGGCTGTGGTACCTGCTTCGGCTTCCTCTGTACCATTTTGGGTTGAGGTCTCCTACTAACACGTTTCTTCTTGGCAACCGGCAAAGAGGTATTGGATTCCTCTTCTGAAAGTTTCTGGACTTGGTCAGAGCATGGAATTTCTGCATCATGCTTTCGTTTGAGCACTGAGATACTTTCCGTCGGTGATGACTCAAAATCCACATTCTTGCCATGTGTATTATTCTCTGATGTAACAATCTCCTGCTCACAACAAACATCTGGGACTTCTCGTGTCTCTAACGTAGGTTCAGCCTGAGAACTGATTTTGCTTGGTTCAGAATGAGAACTAGTACTAACTGGTTCAGATGGAGAGCTAGTACAACTTAGTTCAGGCTGAGAACTGGTACTACTTGGTTCAGATCGAAGTGGGGTTTTATTCAAGGTCTGGGGCCCAGTTACATTCCCTTGCTTGTTACAAGGCCCAGGGGACACCATATAGAGGTGATACGTACATACGGCCGGGTCGGTCGACGAAGGGGTCGCAATGACCAACATGCTCGCCCCACCTTTCGTGACCACAGAAGCGATGCGTGTCGAGGATACCCGACCTCCGGTCGGCGTTCCTCTGCTCGTGGTCGGGATCGGAGAAGTGAACTGGGACATGGTGGCCGACATCGCAGATATGCCTTCGATGGCAGATGCCAGGTGAGGATTGTTGCTCACCGAAGAGCTCTTTGGCGATGCAAACAGTGCCGTCACTGGTGGTCTGACGAGACCCTGTATCGTTTGATTCTGCATGGTAACATTTGGAGAAGAGACTCCAGTCCCAAGTCTGGACTGGGCATCAACTGCCATCATTTTCGAAGGTGAGGTATTGACAGATGCAATAATTGCAGCCGATGCTGATGAAGATATCACAGGGAAAACACCAGGTTTCGGCATTGTACTAATGGCAGGAACCTGAACGACCCTCGGCGACAGGGATGACACCTCGGTCGAATGCGATACGGGTGACTGCACGTTTACAGAAGCCATGGTCAGAGATGGTGATGAGCACCTGGCTGAGGATCCCAGAGGCAGTGAAGAATGAAGAACAGGTGTTGAATGACTCTTATCAAAGGGATGAATAGGCGGTCTGCTCTTGAGAGGCTTCTTCTGCACAACTCTCGCTGCTGGCAGAGGATTCTCATCCTCTTGAGGTTGCATTGTTGGATTTTTTGGATCAAAACTCAAAGCCTCTCTTATGTCTTGCCCTCGCTCTGGTACAGGTGGTCTTCCTCGCTTCTCTGGATGAAAACAAAATTTAACAAATTGACAGATAAACTGAAAAAGAAAGATTTTGCGGACGACCGACAACACTCGGCTTTCGCCGAGTGTTGTCGGTCGTCCGCAAAGTCAAGACTTGCAAAAAAATGAGCCCAATGTGGCCATCGTTCGACAAAAAACACGAGTGCTACTTGCAAACGAAATTCGTTTTCGCTCGATGACTGCTCGATGCGGACAGCGGAACTCTTCCGCGGTCGATCCGAGCTCTCTGTGCCTTTACCAGACGATTTTTTAGTCTCGATGATTCCATGAACGAGTCATCTGGAAGACGACATGGAGTCTGCGATGCCGAAGCGAGCAGCAAGCGCGCCGTCCCGCGTCCCAATAATCACCAAACGGCGACGATGCAATCGGCAGGCGAAACTCCTCGACACCCTCAATCGTCCCTCCCCCACGCCCCAAACCGAAAATCAGAGCCACCGTAACGCTTGACACGGCCTTTCCGACGGCGTATGACCGCGAGAAACAATCGGTGCGACGAAAAAAAAATTCTCAGGGACATTCGATCGAGTCCGAAGGCTAATTCCGGAGTATGGGCAATTGTACGTCGCCTTCTTCGCCCCGAGGATTCGCTGAAGATTTCGGTCGCCAACAGCAAGCCAAAACTGATGCTGGCGCCGTTACCGACGATGTGGTCTTACCGTTACGTCGGTAACTGTAAGACTTATTGGATAGTCGAATCCATTTGTCAAGACCATTTTTGTTCATCACGAAATAAAACTTTCCGTTTCATTCCCATGTGCGTCGTGTTTATCGATGGCATGATTCCTACCATATTCGTCAACCATAAATTAGTTCGACACGTGTAATTTTTTTGCGCTTACTGGTAGGTGCAACACGCTGGGCCTCAGCAACTCTTTCATGCAAGTATATGCCATCGTGAACTGTAGATCAAATTTTGGCAGCGGGAATCTGGTAGAAATTATTCCTAGTTGGCGAGCCGTGACAAAAGCGTATGCGTACTTGAGTAGAAGGCCGCAAGTCAATGTTGTAATAACAAAGCTACTTGCCCACAGAAGTTACACATTTCTGACATAAGGAAGAGATACCACAGTCACATTCAAATCAGGTTATTGTCTGAAGACATACTACAGACAAAGGAGATCCTCAAAAATTTTTTTATGGATTTATTATTTATTTATTTATTTCATTTATGTATTATTTTATTTTATTTTTTTTTCAAGATGATTATTATTTTTATTTATGTATTTTATTTATTGATTTTTTTTTGGGGGGGTGGGGGGGGAGTGCATGCAAAACTGAGACAAGGAACTCACTTGGCTCATCAGATTCAAAATACTGTATTGGCTTGCGGGATCCTTTCGGCTTCACCTTGCGAGGCTTGCTTTTTTCTTCCTCGTTATTTTCTTCTGCCTCTGAACCTAGGAGAGAGAAAATGCACTTGATGTCCCCCCCATCGAAACACCAGTGATTCCCGGAGTGAATTGGCAATCGTTGCAATGTAGGCCATTACTGCAGTGCTGCAGTCAAATGGGAGGGCAACAAAGGCTTCTGAGGGCCGGCGGGACTCTGAGTTTTTAGGCATTTGCATTGAATTTCAAACACAACTCATCGCAATCGTCTCATTTGAATTGCCCACCGGAAGACATTTGCTGCATTCAATTTGGGTTCCAGTTTGAACTTGGCCACTGCCAATCCCAAAGTATTGGATCTTTCCTCTATTTTCTAGCATAGGACGATCGCGATCGAGTGAGTCAGCGACTGACTTTAATTTTAACCGTGATTGAGATTGAAAGTTCGAACTTGGTAGGTCTCCACGAATAACTCTGACGATGAGGATTTCAGGTACTTGTAATTGTACTTATGGAGACGTATCTCCATAAATCTCTTTGCTCCAAGGAAACGGAGAGACATAGAAGCTGAAACATGGTGCATCGGTACCTATTGAGGTGCAGATTTCAGGGGGGAAAAGCTACTTTTAGGATTCGTCCCCAGGGGCATATTTTGGGGGTGGACCTTTCCAATAAAAAATTATTTCTTTCCAGGGAATCTTGGAGACGAAGGGCTGAAACCGTACTAATTGGGTACATGTTGGTATGCAGTCATGAGGGGAAATCCCGCTTCTGGGAGATATCTTCTGGGGAGAGCCATATTTTATGCTTCGCTCCATTGAATCGGGCGGTGAAGGGTATAGAAACCTGGAATTTCTTGTGTAGGTTGTTATCCAGTCGCTAATTTCTGGAAAAAGCCTACTCTTGCGGATAATTCCTCGGGTGCACATTAGGGTCACGTTGTCGGAAAGTATTTTCAAGCAGAACGGACTGGCAAAGTTTGTTATATTCAGTAGACAAGTCTTTCTCTGCACGCATAATTCAGAAAACATCCAACTTGAGGGACACATCCCCACTCCGAACTTGGAGGTACAAGTCCTGGAAATAAAATTTATCCAGCAGACGAGTTCATCGTATGCAATCCATTTCTTGCATTCCAACAACCAATTACCTGCATTTTTTTCATAAGTGCTCGACGTCACACGTCCCGTTGTGAAAGCCCGGACAGAGCTCAAAAAGGCATTTTCTCCGAGGAGCATGACTCAACTGAGCTTTCGTCCACTCTAAACGTTCTTTATCTCAAGAGGGGGTCATATTCCCGCGGATATGACGCACATGAATGCATGTCCGAACTTGAGTTTTTCAAACACTTCTTGACCTAAGCTCGGACATACCGAAAGTAAGACAATAACCTGGGAAGTAAGAATTGCGCACAGAAAACAAAAAGTCACATGTGAACCGTTTTAAAAGTAAGGTTCTCTCCTCACGGTTTCTCGAAGAATTCCTCCTGTTCGCGATATAGCAACACCTTGGAATCGTGCAAAGTCATCATGACCACCGCTTTTCCTTCGCTCAGTAACGAATTCCTCTCATGTTACCATTTCTGAAGGCGGCCCCGCGAACGCTAAGTTTTGCAACAATTTTTGCAGCAGGTCCGAACTTTGATGGTTTTACCCCATTATGATGCCAATACCATGCTGCCAGTACCACAACCCCACAAATCTGGGGTGCTCCCACGGCAGAGAAAAGTAACAGTCTGTTCCATCGGGCATCCTCCCTACTTTGCAAAGTTGATAACGCCTTCACCGACACATCTGGCATATTCCACATCTCTTGAGAAGGGACTGCAGGATTTAAAAAAAATCTTCCAAATTCCTGTGTGGTTGCGTTTTTGAACTCGGGGTCCCAAGCCACGGAAGCCAGACTCGCTACCAACCGAACCGCTCATCGGCCAAATCTCCAGAAGAGTACCAATAAATTCGCCATAAAAAGCTGCTCACTCGAACTGCAGATGATGTCATCAAAATAGCCAGGATCGAAGTCCATCCCAGCCGTCAAGGCCTTGTCGACGAGGGCCGGGTTCATGGCCAACTCTCGCTTGTACTTCCGCACCAACTCGTACCGCTTCCGGTTCTTGAAGAGCGACAACATGATGCTGAAGTCCGTTCCGACGATGCTGAGCGCTTTGTAGAACCGTTTCGTTTCTGGAACGAAGGGACCGAGTCAATCGAGAGCGACAAAGAGCACGATAAATGCGCATGCCATTTTCTCACCACTGATGGACCAGTCCTTCGGCCTCGACTTGCGTTTGCTCGACTTGAAAGGCCGGGGAAAGTCTCCCTCGAATATGACTGGACTCTTCTCGATCAGTTTCGACGCTTGCTTCTTCGCCGTCGTCTCGATCATCTATCGTACGGAGTGGTGTCGTGAAACTACGGACAAGCACACACAAATGCCCAGAGTGGATTCAAAAGGCATACAAGACTCTGTTCATCGATGATGATTTGTCCATCGGGGCCAAGTTTGACTTTCGGCACAGGATCTGCCTCGCCCTCGTGATCGAGTTCAACAGGACTTTCGTACTCATCGACGGCGATGTCGTCCACTCTCTCCTCTCGAAGCCTGTGGAGAAACACCAATGCATTGAAAAACAAATGAAAAAAAAAATCCATTCGAGCTAAAGGCCGAAAGTCTTATTATTTTCCCACTGCATTTGCATAGGAGACCTCTCTCTCCTCTTTACTCATTCCTGCATTATCCTGGCATTAGAAGGCAATTAAATTAATTAATTGGCTCTTATAGAGAATACCAGCAGGTGACATATGTCATGTGACAGAACTGCAAGATGCCATCTAATGCCAAATTAAGAGCATCAAGGTCAGAAACTGCTTCAACTTCTTCACGGTCAAATTAGTAGAGGAACCTTGCATCACAAGAGCCAATGTTGTTTCTTCCAAATGAAATGATGAAGATGTTCCAAGTATTACAGAAAGAGCAGAATAAGACCTCATAGCCAAGAAATGGGACTATGAAGGCACTATGTGCAAGCAAATAGATCTTGTGCACATGTTCCAGAAGATTTCCCACTGATTGTCCATGATGGACAATCAGCGATACGAAGAATTCTCTTTTTCCATTTTCATTTGTCTCTCTAAGATTCGATGACTTCCACGCTCACAAAAAGCCACAAAACAGAGGGAAGGGCAATACTCCAACTTGGAAAAGGGCTAACCGAGTGGGACGGATTGGAAATGCATATGGCGGATCTGAAATTGCTCACCTCTGGTTGACTGCGTTCCTCGTGGGAGAATTGATAGCTTCACGAGTTTCCTTAGCCTTCAGTTCAGCTATCTTCTCTGCCTGTCTCCTGGAAAAAAAACAATGGACTGCATTCAATTTTTTTATTATTTATGAGCCATAATGCCATGCACACAGGGAATGGGAAAGGAGAGAGTGTGGGTCATTTCATGCCAATGTACCAGATGGTGATGCTCAGTCATCTCAAAATTTGTTTAGAAATTCACATCTAGCAGGTCAAAATAAAAGAAACTCCAGAATCGAAAGGTATTCATTTTTTTTCCTGATGATTTATGAGAAATCAATTTTGTAAATTTTTGTATCCAGACACATGAATGCCCAGAGCATTTTCATGACAGCCGTGTTGAAATGGACACTGATGAAGCCTTAAACTCAGGAACTTTTGAAAAATCGAAAATTTTCAAAACCTGATCAGAACAAGAATTCATGTTATCAAAACGATTTTGAAATGCCCCTTTTTTCTACATAGACAAAATTTTTAATTGGAACACCACATGGGGAATATTGAGGACTAAGTCCACCAAAATCATTTTAAAAATCAATGATTTGACATGCATTTTTTCCACGTAGAGCAGAATGCTGCTTACACAATAAAGCTGAGCCAAATACTGACTTTTTGCATTGCTCACTCCCACCAAAAGTCAGAGTCCTGCAATTTATTTTTAAAATTACTAACATTGAAAAAAAATGTTAATTCAGTATTTAGAAATTCCTTATTTTTTTGTTGCAGTAATTATGTTGGAAACTTTCAAACCTTCCAAGTGAGCCTTCACAGAAATTCTATGCTGCATTTCCAGAGTTATTAAAATGTCCTGAGAGGTCACATGTACCTGGAAACCAAAACATTCAAAACTAACATCTCGCAAACCATAAGTAAAAAAATAATAATAATTTAATTTTGAAGTTTCTTCTAAGACCTTTTACCTGTGAATTTTTTATGAGATGCTCGAGCATAAAACCTAAAAAAAAAAACTTGGCGAGTTGGCACGGAATGACCCCATGTAACCCTGGCGGGCCCGAGGCATCCCACGAGAGTCTGAACTCGTTCCGCTCACTGAAACTCAACCCGTGCAATCACTGTATGAGGACTTAATGGCCTGTTGGCCATTAACCCCATACTCCTGCAGTACTCTCCGGAGCCTCCGATGAAGTACACCGCCAGATGCCTTATTGAGATCCACAAAACAATAATAGTATGGACACAAACTTCATTTTGCACTTAACAATAGCAACAGGTTCAGATCTAAGTTCGATAACCAGATTGCGAAGTCGATAACCAGGTTGCAGAGTCCATATCCAGTGCGTGTAGTGCCACTTGTACTGCCATTTGTACAGATAGTGCCTGGTCCTGGCGTGCGGATCTGGTTCAGTGTGACCCAGAATTTCCGCGGGCGAGAGCTCGGCGGTTCTCTGGTCGCGTTCTCGATGAGGAATCTGTTTGGCACGGTGGAGTCGTGCCATTCTTTTCTCCACTCTTCTTCAGTGCCGAAAGACGACGCCATCAGGTCGCGAGCTGTTTGCCAGAATGGTTTCGGGGATTTCAGTCTGACCGGCGGTGGGCATCCGAAGTCTTGGACGAAGTCGAGGAACTCTCGCATGCAATTCTCACGCCTTCGGATTTCAGACGGAGAGATGCTCGAGTGCAACCAGGGCAACCAAGGGTGGGCGAGAGCGTTCCGGTGACGATTCTCAAAGTTGACCCGCGTCGCGTTTCCGCGCGCGGATGGTCTCCAAGCCACACGGTACAGCACAGTACTCATCTGCAGTGCTCATCTGAGGAGTAGACGAGTGTTTCTCTACCGGTGGTCCGCATGGCCTCAGTTGGGGGTCCGCAGAAAACAAAATCATTTAAAAATAAAATAAATGTTCCCCAAATCATGCTTTTATTTAATAATTGATGACAGGATGTGCACAATCAATCACAATGGACAAAGCTCGCCTCGCCAGCCTTGATCCACAAATGCGGATCAAGATCGGTTGGTCACTCTTCCACGCATAGAAGAGTGGTTGTCGCCAGATCTAGTGCTGACGCCACCGTAGGAACTCACCGTAGGAAGCAGAATCTCATCTTGCATTCCGTTTTCGCGATCAGAATTGGTCATTTCGCGATCATAATGGGCCATTTCATCATTTGAATATACTAAATACGAGCCTGCAAGTGAAAAAAAAAGAAAAAAAGAGCAAATTTTGATTCTTTAGTCTCCGAATCCTTGACCAAAGCCTCCAAAGATGCCTCACCAGCCACGGTCGTTGTTTATCCAAGACCATTCCCTTTTATACACTTCGCCGAAGAAATCCTGCCAGAAGTGTTAGATGAGGGGAGAATGCAAAGAAAAAAATAATTTTTGTGCGTTCAAGCATTTGGGCATTCAAGGATAATGCCCCTTTCCGCCGACCCGTCCCTCTATGCCGAAATAAGACAGCGGCACTCCCGGAATCATCCAGAGTGGAGAGATATTTCTCATCGTCCCAGTCGGCATTAAAGGACAGAACTCCATCGGCATTAAAGGACCGGTGTAAAATCGGCATGCACAGAAGACTGAAAATATTTGGCATTCAAGGAGCTTCCCGTTCTCAACCGTTTTAATGTCGCGACCCACCAAATTTAGAAACGTCCAGAAATAACGCAGCCGTGTGACTGGACAAAAAAAATTTGAATATTTTAAACATGGAAATGACGTTTTCAATGTATCGCTCTGGGCACTGGCTATTCCTTCATTATTACTTTCTGTTTCCTCTTCGAGCTTCATATGACAGAACTCGACAGGTTTATCCTTCCATGCTGGGCGATTTCGATCTAAATGCTGCTTCTAAATGTGAAGGCTTCATGGATACATCGGCCAGCAGTTCGCCACAAACTTTTGCGAGAGAAAAAAGAGAGAAGGAAATCCAAAAAAAAAAGAGAGAAGGAAATAATAAAAAAAAGAGAGAAGGAAATAGTTCAGGTTGCAGAGAAACTGAATCGAGAAAATGAACATCGGCTTCTGCCCGAAAAAAAAACATCACCCTTAACCACGGCAAGAGGGAATTGCTAGAACTGACGAGGTCACTGAAGACAGAGGATAAGAGCAAGAATGATTAAAAAAATACATTTTCAAGCCGCTTGCCCCTTCTTGGAAATGTCGGCCAGCGAGCTTTCTCCCTGTGCCGCCTTCCGGTCAGGATTAATAGATTATTTGATCGTTCCTGGGAAGTCAACCTCTAGTTATATAGCCCTGTAGGTCAGTTTGGCACTCATGACTGATTTCTGTTTTCTCCATACCTCTCTATTTTTTACTTTAATTCATTTCATTCTCCCGCGACCCACCGGTTGAGAACCATCGGAGTAGACGACGTCCAAAGCTGCTTAAGCACGACGTTGCTGCGTGCGTTGCTCGGTCGCCGCAGAAAGAAACCTCAAGTTCCGCCTTCGGCAGGAGGTTGTGCAGGTGGAAAGCGGTTACGCAGGAGGAAAGCGGTTACGCAGGAGGAAAGCGGTTGTGCAGGAGGAAAGCGGTTGTGCAGGTGGAAAGCGGATTATCAGCGACATCCGTCCTTCCTGTTCTCTCTAATGATACGAAGTGTAATCTTCCATTTCAGAAGTTAAGCCTTCATTAGATTGAAGCCAGGTTTCTGTAACTGACAATTTCAGGCTTCAGGTTCCAGAGTTCGCACTCAAGTTTCAAGTTTGCTAGTGAAGGATCTTGCCTCAGTCATACAGAGACATGATGGGGAACTCCAACACTCTTTCTTTCTGTTATGTTTCTCCCCTTGAAAATTCCGAGGGATTTGAGGCAAAGGCAAAGATCTCCATTGATACCGGAACGGGAAGGATAGGTGACGATCGTATAACCGAACAGGAGGATCCTGGAATATGATGGCAGCGACGCCCGAGATAGGAAACTCGTCTCAAGGTCCCCGATAAAAAAATTAATTAATAAATAATAACAAATGGCAAGGGCAAATCAGAATGATTACTAAGTAATCTGCTACTGTCAGACTCCAAATTCTAACCTTCGTTTGCTCCCAATCGTTGGTGTCTTCGCGTGATGTATCCACTCATGATACTACGTGAAGAAACTCAATTAGAAGACTGAGCAACGAATGTTTAAATCATGCCAAGGTCCCATGAAGGTCCAATTAAATTCATCACGCACTGATACAGGTTGTAGGTTCGTGTGCGATTAAGGTGCTTCGCAAATGCCCAGATAGCACATGCAGCACAGAGAAATAACTTATCCGAGGCAAGAGTTGCAAGCACAGTTCACAGGAGGAAGAAACAATTAAAAGAAGCATATGTAAATGCCTTAGGCACACTCCCAAGTGTAGGTAACATTTTTTCTTCCCGCGAACCTGAGACGACAAATCGAAATTATGAGGGAGGATATGCAGGCACGCATGGCGGGGCGCCGCCAGTAATTAGAAAGTTTGTCTGAATACCTTGGTAACAGCTCATATTCCATTCGCTCCAACACCTTTGCATAACTACACCAACAGCTTCACATACACTTTGAATCCACCAAATGCTTCCAGATGTGACCAGGCAACACATGTTGTTGCAGAGAAAACACCAGACAGATACAGGTTTCTTCGGTTTCTATGTCAGCAGCCTTGAGAAATTGTTAAAATTTGCCAATGACCCTTACCAACACATCATGAGTTTCCTGATCACAGGTGACTTCCCACCTCAACCATTTTGCGATGGATTTCTGCCCCATTCTTAGGTTCAATCAGGAGCTTGCTGACCACTAGCTGGTGATCAGTGGTCAGTCCAGTCCCACTTTTGACCATCATATCCATCCTTGTGGGACCATCATTAATCAGCGATTGCAGGCCCATAGCTCCAGTTCAACTGTCTGGCCACTGTGCCAGGTATACATGTGAATACCCTCGTGCCAGGAGGCAATCGTTGTACTCAGACTATTGCCAGCGCAGAAGCATGGAAACTTTTAACTATTCTCATTCAATGTGGCTTCTCCAGACCAACCAATCTTATCATTCCATGTGGCTTTTTCTTTCCCAACTTGCACACTGAAGTCCCCCAGCATAAATGTAGTAAGGCCACAGCAGGATCTGTTATAGAGCCCTATCCACATCAAGGAATGCATCGAAGTGCAAATTGCTGTTTAACCTAAAGACCCGAGCAGCAATCGAGACTCCACCTTGCTCTATTCTAAGCCAAATCCGAGATATATATTCTAGTTGGATTCTGTTCCTTCAGTCAGCCTGCTGGAGAAGCAGACTACTCCCCCCCCCCCCTCCCACATAGACAACAACCGATCCAGAATGGAACTCCTCCACCAAATCCATCGTGCGCGTTCTGGTTCGACTCAGTCACCCTCAACAGAAGCCCCTGCATCATGGTTGAACCTGGGATACCACGGCCTTCTGAATCGTTGGGGTCCATCCTCGCGACGTGGACGCGCGAACCGTTGAGGACTAATTATACAGACCATTTCAAAAGTCACTTTTTCTGTTCAGGAAGTAGCTGTGGATTGATGTAAAGCATAAAATATTAAATGCTGGGCGAGTGTGGAAACTGATGAGCATAAGACAATCAGAGTGATGTGTCAAGAGCCAACGCAAGGAAAAACCAGGGTAATTATAGTATTAAAATTAACCGTGAAACATTCACGTCTTCCTGATTGAGGTTAATCGACTTCTTTCCAATAGCGTTCAAATGAACGGTTGGAATTTTGAGCAGCCATATTTTCGATATTGTCCCCCCCCCCCCAGAATTTCCCTATATACCAATTTACGGAGAGTTCTGTTCCATTATACTCAAATGGAACAGAACGCGAAAATTTGGAGCCTTCAGGCATTCAAACACCCCGAATTTCCCTTAATAATTTTCAGCGATTTATTTCATGGGATTCTAAAGGAATAACGTACGAATTTCGAAAAGCCACACTTTGGATCAGTAAAGAGTTCAAGGGCCGCCTCCAAATTGCACTATGCAAATTTTTAGCATGTTCCGCCCCCAAAGCATTGAAGTGAAACATGCTGGGTATTATGATGGGGAATGGAGAATAATTTTGAGTCGGGCACATGATGCGAATCGACTCGATTGGACAGATCTGACAATTGAATCAGAAGCGTCTTTTTTTTTTATCCAGCCGCTTACAGCTACAGCCAAAAAATAACTCTTTCCGTCTGCACTTGGGACGACTACGTCATTAAATTACGTCACCCTTGGGCAAGCAGTACCAATGGAACGTAATGAACTAGGGGCGCGCTGAACAAGCCAGCCCGAATGCGACGTCGCGGGATATGAAAGCCTCGGCCGTTTCGAAAAAAGACGCGCCCAGAGACCTCGAGTTCCGAAGCTTAGAGACCTAAGAGGGCTGCGGGCCGCGGGTTGGGTCCGTAAAGCTCGGTCCGGCGATCGAGTTTCGGGTCGGGCGAGGAAAGAACCGCCCACGCAGCCCTCCGGCGGGCAGGTCAGACCAAACGTCGGCTATAATGTTTCATTATGGGTACAACAGTTTGTATGTATTGCAAGGCATTGCACACCACTGAATTTCTCATTTCTTGAGGAATACGGCGAATCTCCTAGTTCGTGCTGCCTGTCAATACTGAAAGAACGTTCAGAGTGCCTGTTCGTGGATACTTACACCTCCATTGTGCGTCTAATTGTTCTAACATCTCATTTTCCCCGTGTATCACGCTGTGTTTCACAGCTGTCTGAACTGTGAAAGTGACTTTTGAAACACCCTGTATAAGAAGAGTAAACACATGGACCTGGCGAGAGGAGACAACCACCCCGGGGCAGTGAGCCCATACCTTCTCTAATTTATACACATATACACTGAACCTAAGAATAACCAGCAATTCCACAACTTAATTGGCCATGAAAGAATCAGTCCTTCTGGCTCTAATGAGATTTCACCTTTAGTTGTTTCTTGAATACACACTAGATGTGCAGTGATACTGAATTCAGCCTTGTGTAAAATAAGGGGGAAACCCACGTTGGTGTCAAGATCAATTATCAATAACCATATAAATAATTTCATTGAACAAATTCATTATTTTTAAGGGAAAAAAATTCCTTAAAACTCACTTTGATCTGATGAATCTCTCTCTAGGTATCATTCCAGAAGAGAACCAACCATCCTCGTTCTACAGGACAGTCCTGTGTATTGATTGGCTGTTCCATGTCCATCAAGCAAACTCAAACAAGAAATGTTCCATATCGTAAAGAAAAAGAAAAAAAAAAAAGAAAAAAAAAGTTTTAATTATTTCTGCTCTTTTACTTCAATTGCATCATTGAAGCTTCAAATGCAATGTGTTTTTTTTTCCCTCTGGAATCTGAGTCAAGGCAATTCTGAATAACCAATTTCACATTGTTAAGTTCATTAATTGCATTTAACCCTTTACAGGCTATTGGTCACTATGTTAGGCACTTTCATTCAGGCCAATCATTCTCCTTAAATGGATCTTGGGATGGTGATTTTGCCACTCCTATGAAAAATTAATGAATTTTGAAACTATTGCGTACATCATATTTCTAGTGCCTAAAAACATCAATAGTTATTATTTGTTGATCTTTTAAATTTACGTAATTTAAAACGTTGTCCTATAAAGGGTTAACTGGTTTTTAATTAAGGTGGCTTTTTTAGAAAAAAAAAATAGTCCAAAGCAAACCACCATAGGCCAAAAATAGATGATTTTGTCCAAAGATGACACCTAAAAGACTCATTAAATTTCTTGGGGTGAGGGGGGACAAGCCTTCACCTTCACGTGTCTCACATTCCAGTATCTCCAACTCGGTCATCCGACTTGAAATGACACGATCTCGGGACAGACTTTTCCTTACCTGGGCATGGGCGTCGTATTCGGGTTGTAGTTTATGAGATCCCTCATGGTCAGGCTCTTCCGACTCGGTTCCGTATCGTTCTCCAATTTCTGCTGGGTTTCCACCTTCCACTTGTTCATCATCATCATGTACTGAGTCTTCTTCCTCCCCATGTACTTCTTCTTGGACACTCGCCCCCTCTTCTTCTCTATGTCCATTTTCGCATCCTTCTCCTCCTCTTCATTATTATTTGAAGTAGATTGAAGAGTTCCTTGAGGCTCCCTTCACAAGAAAATAAAAATTCCATTAAGCTGCTCAAAAATTACATTCATCTTTTTTTTTCCGTAAATTTTATTAAACTCACTCAAGACTGGTCTCAGGCGGATTGAAGACAGGAGGCTTCTGGCTTATTTTCCTACTTTCATCCTCGGATTCACTGCAGCTCGATAGGTTTCTCGTTCGACCAGACAAGTTTGGCCTGAAGCGATTCTTAAATTTCCATGAGGAATGTAAAGCTGCACCGTCAGATGATGAATTAACTGGAGGATACAGATTTTCTGCTGGTAACTTTCCGTTCTCGGGGGGATGCAGTTTAAGATTCTCAAGTTGATCGGTTAGAGCTGCATTTTTAGATATGGTCTGAGGATGCTTCTCAGGAGAAAAACTTAACGGCCTTAATTCTGTGAAGACTACATCCGACGAATTATCTCGATCAGATGGGGGCATTTTCTCAGCATTCTGCACGGAGTCATTCATGTCCTGCTCTTCACAGTGCGATTCATAAGTCACCAGAGCATTACCAGTACGGGAAGCACCGACTTCAACCACAGCGGGAGTTCTGGGATCAGAGGAGATGAGACATTCATTTCCATTCTCCAAGTTGATGATTGATTCTCGTCTCTCCCCTTCCGGGTGCCTCGTGCGACCCAATTTCTGTACCATAACTTCTGGTAGGTGTTTGCCCTTTAAACTTGGCTCATGACCATCCACATGGGATATGGACATTTTCTTGACGGTAGGTAGCTTGGGTTTCATTTTAAAAAAACTAGAGAGCCTGTTCACTTTTGCCTCAAGAGGTTTCTTTGTCTCGTTGGCCTCCCCTTGAGATGCTGATGGAGTGCAAGTCCGATTCCCTTCTACGGCAGAGTTTAGTGTTAGTGCTTCTTCAACGGGCAATTTTTCTGATAATGACTCAGAAGAATCAATAGGAAAACATACAGCAGATGCCTGTCCACTATTGGATTCTGTATCTGATTTGCCATGGGAATCTGTGCTGGATGTATTTTCCTCATTCCAGCTGGTACGCTTTAATGGTAACGCTTCAAAAATCTCAGGAGTCTCACCCTTTCCTTCCCCCTTCCCCTGGCCTTCCCCATCAGACTGAGATGGGGATTGCTGAAACGGTGGGAAAGCATTCTTTGGGCTATCCAATGATTCCGTGGGTTTCGCATTCACTTCATCGTGTTTGGTGTCACCATCAGGCACCCTTGCAATGGATGTTCTTGCTCTGGATAATACAATGGGCAAGGCTTTTATCCTTGACCTTCTCATAACTGATATCAACTGAGCAAAACATCCATACTGGAGACGTAAACTGACAAGGCCAACATAATTAATTTCTCACCTGTGGAAAATAATGGGAAAACTTCATTCAAGACTATTTTGAAAAAAAAAAGAGAAAAATTAAATTTAACAATCATCAACACTAGGAATTAGGAAGATGAACATATATAATTATTAAATTCTGTCAAGAGATCAATGTGGGTCTATCTCAAAGTCATACAAGGTGAATAATTATTTTAAAATTAGGGTAACATGTCTGTGGAAGATCACTGAAGCTTCCAGGTCACTATATCTTGGAAATAAAACCAATGAATCACTCAAACAATTTGCTCAATGAAAACTCCAACTGTCTTCGGTTTTTCAATGTGCAAGAGAGACTACAATTTGTGCATGCTCCTGCTTCCACCAGAGCCAAAAAATAGAAGCACTTTTTATAGGTACAAGGTCTCTCGGGGTAAGTGTGAACAGATTATTCCATATGTAATCTATTGTCCAGTCTCCTATTCTCATCTACTTGTAGACTGCAAAACTTCACCCAGAGAATGTCTTTGGCCTATCTCGTTCCACACGTTTACCACCTAACAAATAATTATTTAATATAAAAAAGACAAACCCCATCACATGAATCTCAATTGGGGCTTGCACAACATACTCTACTCCCATCGTTGAGATGGAAAGTCTACCACGTGATTCTACCAATACCCCTTAGCGGCGATCAATGCTTGGATGATATTCCACCTCGTCAACCCGCGATTACAAGACCAACGCGTCCAAACGCCAAAATTCATATTCCAGTCTCCCCATTTCAACAGCCTGCCTCTGAACCCCCTCCAGGGCCACTACGTTTCTCTTACTTCCAGACTTCCAAAACTGAACGCAACACTCAATTGCGCCTTATCAATGCTGAAGAACAACACGCGCGCAGATAGCTGACAGCACGCTAGTATCACGCTCACCACAGGCAACGGAGTGCGTGAGACCTTGTTCCTCGGGAGAGGTGGCGAGTCCCCCATTCATGAAAAGAATCACCTCCGCACGCCTCCACAAGTCAAAGCACTCGGGCACCCATCATTTTTTGTAGCCAACGTGAACTTCACACTTACTCTGAACTTCGCGAGCGCACTTCAGCACTCGTTCAACAGCGGATAGTCTCTCGCCTATTTTTATTCTAACAAAGCAGAGGCGTAATCGGTGATGCAGACAGATATAACGTCTTCTCTTATCTCCTGCGTGGCACGATATCCAAGTCCACATGTACAGGGTGCGTAAGAAGTTCTGTTACAAACTTTGGACTCACATAGAATGTCTCCCGGGTTTATCAGCAAATTTTATAAATAATTTTTTATATAAATATTCCTCTAGAGAGGAATATTTATACTGCCTCAGAAACACTAGTGGCTTATGGGATATCACCACTTAAGTGTCGCAAAAAAATTGAGTATCTCCCGAAAAGTTACAGTCATAGAGCTACTCATACGTTATTGATATTTATTAAGGAGAATAACCTGGTCAGTTACGCGTCTTTGTCACGAGCTTCTGTTGGGATCATCTCTTAGGAATCTCAGCGTTACTATGATAAGCGACCTTATTTTCTCACTGGAGTGCTGGAATTTTAAAGATTGGATGCAGGTAAATGGAGTCTGTAGACGTACAGGGTGCGTAAGAAGTTCTGTTACAAACGTTTCTTTGTCAAAAACAACCAAAGCAACAAGAACGACAACTTCAAGTGATAATTTATTTAGTACAAAGTGTCAGTCAATGTTAGGAACCATAGCTACTCGAAATGTCCGCCACGTTTGGAAATGCAAGCCTTCAATCGAGGGCGGAAAGCGCGTACTGCAGCACGCAGCTGATGCTGTGGAATANTCCAAACGTGGCGGACATTTCGAGTAGCTATGGTTCCTAACATTGACTGACACTTTGTACTAAATAAATTATCACTTGAAGTTGTCGTTCTTGTTGCTTTGGTTGTTTTTGACAAAGAAACGTTTGTAACAGAACTTCTTACGCACCCTGTACGTCTACAGACTCCATTTACCTGCATCCAATCTTTAAAATTCCAGCACTCCAGTGAGAAAATAAGGTCGCTTATCATAGTAACGCTGAGATTCCTAAGAGATGATCCCAACAGAAGCTCGTGACAAAGACGCGTAACTGACCAGGTTATTCTCCTTAATAAATATCAATAACGTATGAGTAGCTCTATGACTGTAACTTTTCGGGAGATACAGTTAAAAAAACGCTGTGAATTCACCACTATAGGGTATTCGGTGATCACAAAGACTCCGTCATATTTATAAGGAGAGATCTCCTTATAAATATATTTTTTAATAAATATTTTAAACGACTATTTGGGTTCACTCCAGGTAATTAGAACAATAAACAACACTTTTTAAGGTTACACTACACAAATATAGTCCTAAGTACAGTAGTTATACCCAACTACTTACACATTTTTGCAAATCATGTAATAATAAATATTTAACAATATTCAATAACTCAATAATAAAATGATAATATATCCAACGTAATTTATGTACACTATATGCAATGAAGCCTGTGGATCTACACACCTACTAATTGTGGCCATTACCCAATCCCGATAAATCCATTGGCTCCATATTAAAACCATTTATTTTATCCCGCAAGGACTTACAAACACTCTATGCTGGACAATCTTCGGCCACAAAACATGAAGGTACGAAAATCGGTCAAACGTAGGGTCATTTCCTTCTTACTTTTAACTCCTGGCTTGCAGTCTAACTTCTGAGAATTTCTTACCTGCCATTTCCAAAGGTACTTAGGTTACTACAATATGTACACCCAAGTACGGATCTGCCATTCCCGTCCCCTATACCGCTGGAGCTACATTTTGTAACGCATCCTAGCCATCAAACCTAGAATAAATAACTGTCATTGGTACGGCATAGGACTATATAAAAAGTCCCGGGCAACAAGACAATGTTCTCGATGGTTCGCGCGTCCGCTTCGCATGGAGATGGGAGGAGAGTATGAAGCGTAGGATGCCAGATGCGGCATTTCACGCATACGCCAACCAACCCTGTCTATGCCGCCACGAGCAGCCCCGCTCCCCTATTGTCACTGTGGATCCGTCATCCGCGAGGGCTGGAAGGGAAGTGGATGTTTTAGTCATAGACCGGCACCCTGACCCAAGCTGCACATGAGCAGTGAGTCGCAGTGAGTCCTGTTATTCGGTTGCTGCGGATACTGCGGACAGACGGAAGTTAAAAAAATGAAAGACAGATAGAAATATCTGTCGTTTCCCCATAGGTATTATAGGGAAATGGCAGATATTGCGATCGGTCTGTAACCTTTCTTCTTTTTTTTTTTCACTCCGTCTACCCGCAGTATCCGTAGCGACCGGACATCACGACTCACAGCGCATGTGTAGCTTTTCACCAGGGTCGGGGTGTCGACTTCCACTAAAGCATCCACTTCCCTTCTTGTCCTCGCGGATGACGGATTAGATTAAGATTAAATCCTAATTCCACACCATAAACAAATATATATTTCTCCCGAATCCGCCTAAATTCAGCTTCGCCTGTTCAGTTAGTAATAAAACTTATTGCACCTAATTTAAACTTCCTAAGGTCAATCGACACACATCCTGATTAGATACGAGTTTGAATATGCACTTTGTTATGGAGGTCAGACAGTCAAATTATCCTGAAACAGCACGTTTACCCCGAGGTGAAAGGGGACGCTCCTGGAATGCCGACTTTACACTAGTCCGCGAATGCCGACTGGGAAAACAAAATAAAACATTCCACTCTAGATAATTCCGGGAATGCCAAAGTCGAAATTTGGCATAAAAGACGGGTTGGCAGACACGGATGTCCCTTTGGGGCATTATCCTTGAATGCCGACAGGAAAGATCTTTTCTTCGCATTTTCCATCAAACGCTTCCGACAAGTCTTCTTCCAGGAAGTGCACAGTATAAAAAGGAAATGGTCTTGGATAAGCAACGAAGTGGAGGCATCTTTCAGACAGGGATGGGATCTTCGAGGTGAAAACCTCATTGTTAATCATCACGTATTTCTGTCAAGAGGACAGATGGAAGCGCTATTGGAAATGCAAAGTTGAATTCAACGATACACAGGCAACTCTTGGGTAGATTCTGCATTACAACAGAACCTTTTCAATATAACCCATTCTTTTTGAGAGATGCCATTCCAGTAGAGACCGTGTTTTCTTCTAGACTTGGGGCAAATTTGTATATGGCAGGATCGGCGCACATCACTAATTTCACTTCCAGGCGATAAACGTTCCCACGTTATTATATTTTTGCCTTCGTTTCGTTTTCCTTACGTCACATGCTTCAATTTCAGTTGGCTGCTCAGCAAGGGTTGCCACAAACTGAGGCAACACTCGAGTCATACTTGGAAGAGGGAATGCACGATCATGAACTTAGATTAGCTGACATGCGGCGAAAGTGCTTCAGCAAAGAAAGAGTGGAAGAAAGTTGGCTCCTGTTCCTGGCGCAACCCGATAAGAATTTCCACGTGTGGCCAATAGTATTTCATTTGACCTGCTTCCATATTTCTCATCGGTGAAGTGTGGCTTACGGCGCAAGACAAGCATCTCTCCCGAGAAATCCAAACAGCATAGCATCACCGCAGCTCCGAGAGGAATGGACTACAACGGTCAACGGCAGGCCGTTTCTACCGCACCACGACGAAGGAGACGAGTCTGGAAACGCAATGCTGGGAACTGCGGAAACTTTGACAAAGCTCTCCAAATCAGACGCGGTCGTCATTGATGGGATCAACAGGGTTGCTTCTCGTATTTTCCACCAGTTGTAGGTCATTCAAGGGACTGTAGGAGGCCAAGTTTTCCCTCGTTATTAATGGCTTTCCCAGCAGGACGACCTATGATGCCTTCTTTCCAACTCTCAAAACCAACGCTGAAACCCATGGCATCAACAATGCAAGGATGCATATTGGTGGACTTCGAGCAAGTCTCCCTTGGCTCCCTCGGCAGCCTCTTTCCTGGGATATAGATCAAAGGATGCCTCTTCCAATATCGACTGGCGATCTAAGACTTCAGCCATCATTCAACAGCTATGACGAAATACTGAAATAGATCAAGCGCTTGTTGGCACTATCGCTGTTCCCCTGGAACAGATCTTGACGCATTCATGCGGATCATGGCACTAGGCCCAAATGTCGTTCCAGCTGGGAAACGGTGTGCAATTCAGCGAATGCATGGCATGCAAAAGTGAGCGAGTTCTCCAGAAGTTTCTTCATCAAGAGATGCAACTCTCTGCACAAAACTTTCCTTCCTATAGGTAAGGCATGTCATAGCGAAAACACATCCCAATATACGAGAACCCATAAATAAAATTTCCAGGACCGATGCTCCTGATTCTGAATGGTGAAATCAGAATCTGAGGTTGCTTATTTGGTAAGACCATGAGCTTGGAAAGAGAGCCTCACAAGCTCGGCGAGAAATGGCGTTGCCTTATCGACCCTGTTGTTTTCAAAGCGCACAATGCGTTGGACACATCATCCACTACAATGTCACACCTAGTGCAACATGCGATTATCAAATGCTACGTAAACGCTGGCAAATCTGCCATAGAAGCCTGGGAGTTGCAA